GCAGGAGGTGCCTTCATCGTTGGCCGTCTTGGTAAAGGTGGCCGTTCTTCATGATGATGCTTGACGTTGTCTGGGATTCCGTCTCTTCGTCCAAGGTCATGGATGGCTGTGCCTTGCTCTTTGGTGTAAGCCTCAGTGTTGGTACCGGAGGCTGCATAGGCATTGCCTTCTGCCTTGGCCGTTCCTCAAGAGGTGGCTCCGAGGGCTTCTTGTCTTCATCGCTGTCGGAATCTCGATCATAATCTGCCTGCTCCATTGGAACGTCTTCTTCTTCGCGACGGTCGGATTTAGGCTTCTTGTCGTCCTTGGTCTTGCCCATGATGTAATCGGATGCGGATGATTCGTCATCTTCATCGCTCTGGATGGGTGAGTCCTTGAGTGGAGAAGCTCGTCTCTTTCCGGCTGGCTTCGGAGTGGATGGCTTTGACTTGCTGCTTCCAAAAAGGCTTGCAAGGAGCGGCATATCGTTGTCAATCGGAAAAAGCATACACGATCGCAAGGGTCGAATGGGTTGTAAACCAAACTGGCTGCGGACGCAGACACATATTTCTTGAGGTTCAAGAAAGGTCACATGCAAAATACCCACCACGGCATTGAGGAATTGAAAATCACTAAAATGGAAAAATTCATGCATTGAAAATTCATGGACATCTGGATCATGCCCAAGCAAACATGGGTTCTGCTATCCCGACTCCTGCGAATGCAGTTGGATCGGGTCCGTGCTTCGTATTGCGCGCTAGCCATTCAACCAAAAATGCCTTGTTCTGCAACATGGCGCGGAAGGGTGGATGAGCGTCCACATTCATGAGGTTGCCTGTCAATACTGCCTTGATAAGCTCATCTGCCTTCGCTGAATGTTGGTCAGCGAATCTGCTAGACAATCCTCGCTTCGCACATGTGCGAGATCATGCATCTGTCCGCGATTGCTCTCCTTTCGCAATTTCTGCTCTGGTTGATGTGTTGCGGATGCTGTTGTGACAAGATTGTTAGCATCTGTGCGGATATGGACATCTGCGATTTCGCCTGCGTTGTCTGACCAGAGTCCGCGAAGAAATAAGGCTGAGCCGTAACAACGCATTAGTCCGTGCAATTCAGCAACAGTTGTGGGCATGATTGTGGCGGTGATCTTATGCGTCTCATAGTCGACCAGTGAGCCTCTCGAATTCGATGAGCCCTGGCGAAGATCTCTCTGTTCTGCAAGAAAGATAACATGTGCACGTTGGGATGACTTGGGAGGCATCTGGATAGCCTACTATTCGGGTCTTCCCACGAAGGGGCCACAATCTCACACTAAGCCGAATGCTTTTGATGGTTCTGACTGTCTTGTTGATGGCGCGAACGTCCTCAATGGTTGATGATGATGCCTTGGATGCGCACCTGGAGAATTGATAACCAATGTGGAATTGTGTTCGCGATTGTAACCAGTTGATCTGGCCTAAGACACTTCTGTAAGCAGTATGCATTTGAGGAGTGAGTGGTGTATCATCCTTTAGATGCTTGTCAAAGGTGATCTCCTGAAGTTCGTCAATGGCAACGTTCTGGTGGACATTGATGTACCAACCGTGCTTGTCGTCATGCTTCCATTGGACTCGTTGTCCAACGACAAGGCAGTCATTCTTGTCTTCTGAGCCGACTTGAACATTCTTACGAAGTCGTCCCATGATTTTCTTCTCAAACACGTCATCCCCGGTCATAAGAAGATCATCTACATGAAGAGAAAGTGCTCCATGAACTTGTCGATTCTTGGCGTTGTTGCCGGAAACGGGGTCCATGAGGTAATCAACTGCTCCTTCAAGATCGAATGTGTTGGATGACTTCTTTTCGCTGATCGGCGAGGATTTTGGAAGCTGTTTACCGTAGTAAACGTATGTGCAACGATCTGCTCGCGTTGGCACTAACCCGAATGAACGGAGTGCTGAATCTAGGATGTTCCACCATCTGCGTGGTGCATCATTCAGCCCATAAGCAGACGCGCACCGATGTGTGGCGGATATCCCATTTCAGGAGGGATCTGACAAATCTTCGCCTTGAAGGAATGCTGTCTTCAAATCCATGTGAAATATATTCCAGCCCTTGTTTGCGGCTGCTTGGATTGCAAGGCGGAAGCCACTCTTTGAAAACCTCGGAGGACCCATCGGGCTTTCGTCTTCAGGAAGTTCCAATCTTTGTCTCGCTTCAGGGTAGGAACCCAGCGACCGGTGACCCAATTCCTGACCTGAATCTTTCGTGCGTCGACTAAGTCGAACACTTCGTTGTCAAGCCAAGATTTGCACTCGAGGTGCTTAGCTTCAAGGAATTGCTTCTGGTAAGCTTTCGTCTCAGTAGCTGTTGCTTCCTTCCGCTTCTTACCGATAAGTGCGCATGTGGATGAAGCCTTCAAGGATTCTTGCTTGGACGAATACAATACCAAGAGTGCTCGGTCATCGTCTGTCATTTTCTTCCAAAGCCGGTCAACATGATCCTTGTCTGTGTATTTCTGATGAGAGAACCCACATCTGTTGGATGGTTTGAAGGTCCCTTTCACTGATCCAGTGTTGGCACAGATCTTCTGATCGGATGTCACGAGTGACCGGTGTGCTTCATCAAGAACAAGGTCGGCTTCCTGATCATCGTGCTGCCTCATCATCTTCTGACTCATCTTCTTCTCGGTCAGTGTGCTGCAAAGTCCTCTGTGAACTTCCGGCGCCGGATGAAGTTGGAACGTGAGAGATGAACCAGGCGAATCTTCGTCGTCTGGATTCTCACATGGCTTCATAGGATATGAGGCTTTTCATAGGTTTGATTGCGTGCCAGCTGCCCATGGATCTGGTATAGGTCGGATTGTGCTGTGGGTTGATGACAGGCGCCATCAGCTTTGTTGTCAAAAGGCTTTGTTTTGCTGTCGCCGCCATTGACTGTTCAGAAACTGCATTGGCTTGGATCAGCTTCTCATGGATGGCGTCCTTCTCATGCTGCGTCATGGAACGCCATCGTCGCTTGTCCAGTGCTGGATGACTCCTGGCATGAGTACCAGCCTTGTTCACTCCAATTCCAGGATGGATCCCAATCCTGATCTGTCCAACCGGCATATGTTGGCTCTGTGGATGGTGCAGTTGGCTGTGTGGCGGGCTGCTGCTCCGTCTTCTCTGCGATGGCTGCGAACATCTTGGATGTTCCTTTTTCTTGTCCGCCTTTTCCTTTGCCATTGTCATAGGATGGATAACCTTTGTTTCCATCATAGGGATATTGGAATTTCGTTTTTCCTTTCTTTCCCTTCTTTCCTTTGCCTTTTCCCCAATTTGCCTGGTCGTAGGGATCCTGATTTTCGCTGGCCATATTGGCCTTCCCGCCAGGGCTACCTTTTCGAAAGGGTTTGAAGCCACCTTGTTGGCGACTGCCCTTTTTGCTTGTCGATTTTCCTTTTCCTTTTCTCTTCTTGAATCTGAAATTCCGCCCAGACACCTTTCTCGCAATGAACGCATCGTTCTCCTCCAGTACCCAGAAAGTCTCCTCATCGTTGGTTGACATGAAACCTTCCAGTCCTTCTTCGTCTTCCACACAGAAGCCTTCTTCGCCTTCATACTCTCCTTGTTCGAGAATGTAGAAGGTGTTGCTTCGGTTTCCTCCGGACGGTCGGATGGACGGATCTTGGATGGATGTTCTGGTTGTGATGAAGAGGTCGTGGTGCTGCGTTTTCATCATCTCGTAGGTAAAAATTCTCAATTATGAAAAACTGTGCAATGAGGTTGTTGCTGAGGGGAACGGAAACGCGCCCCGGCGCCTTGTCTGCATGCCTGTAAGGTGCTGTCTGAGTATTGTCTGGCTGCAGCAGATCTGGAGGCGGTGCTCGTGCGCCACCGGCTTGCTGGTGCGCGGCAATTCTTCTTGCATTGGCCTCTTGGACTGAAGCTATAAACTCTGGTGACTGTGCCGTATGCACTGGCATCAGCTGCCTTCAATCTCATCAAGAGGATCTCAAATTTTGATGTGAGTATGAGGAACTCGGTGTTCTGCCTCCTGTGGTGAAACTCAGAAGTCTGTACAGGTACACGTTGGTCGACCCTTTCAGGAAGAACTTCTTCAGCGTGTTCTTGAAATAGTTGTTCGTCAGCATCTTGCAAGAGGTCGTTCTGCACGACTGCCTTGTACATGTGAGCGTCTCCCGTGGGACGGCTCTTGAGGAGTGGTCCTCTCTTGGATGCATCAATTGTTGTGAATGTCACCCAATCATCTACAAGTTCTTCATGTCTAAGCCAGCTGACTCTTCCGTCGTACGATGGCGGCTGCTTGGCGGTCATCGATAAGTTGAGCGTCTCTTCAGTGTAGCCGGATTGTCGGCCAACACTTGAAAAGGCTTCCACGAAGCCTTCTCCATCGGATGACATTGTGTTTGGATTTCTGCAGAAAACCTGCTCCGCTACCGCAATTGAGACCCACTGCCAGGGGTACCGTATCCCCGAAGGGAGCAGGTACCTTGTGGCAGTAGAGAATGTATTTGTAGGTCCCCGGATCTATTCTGCAAGAGAGTCCAATATGCCAATAGTGGAGGAACTGAGAATGGAAGTCCCTGGTCCTGATAATGTGTGGTTTATATCCGCAAGGCGCTCTGCTAGCTCCTTTTGTAATGGCTGCAGGATGAATGCAACTATAATACAAGATGGGCCTTGAGCCAAATAGCAATGTGTGGCGCAGGGTCAATTGCGACCTGCAGCGGGGGGGGCGCGCGCGGCGGGGGGGGGGGGGCGGCGCGCGGGCACGCGGGTGCGGGTGCGGGTGCGCGCGGGGTGGGTGCGGGTGGGTTGGGTGGGTGTGGGTGGGTGGGTGTGGATGGGTGTGTGTGTGTGCGTTGTTGGGTAGAGGGCTGTGTGTGTGTGTGTGCGTGTGCGCCATCCCATCCATTCCTCCATCCCATGTATCATTGCATCCCACGGACCCACCCAGCCACCCGCCCACCGCATCCCTTCCATCCATCCATTCATCCCTCCCTCTCGCCCTCTTATCCGCCATCCATCGCGCCCATCCATCCAGCCCGCGCGGCCGACATGCGAGGCCGGCGCGCGGAGCACGAAAATATTTGAAACTTGGCTCTCCGTGAGTTTGGAACCCGTTGGCTCGGCTTACGCTTGCGGCTGCGGGCTTGGGCTCATGGGGCTTCTCACCCAAGAGGGCCATCCCCCGTTGTCCTCGCAAGCATGACTTAATTTCATGAGATTGAGAAAGGCACTACATTTGTGCAGTCCTTCATTTGCCTCTCCTGTTCCATCTGCTCCATGTGCATCTCCCTTGGTGTCTTTGATAGTGACCTGCGCTTGGATAACTCTCATATACAATGCAGTCCCTGCAGCCCCTAGCTTGCGACAAGCGTGTTCTGCAGATTTGACTTCCGCTGAACGGAGTGTACTTGCACATACAAGGCATGGAACAAGCAAACCCCGCACACTGAATTCACAAAAGCACCTCATGAGGAGCGCGGCTACGCCTTCGATAATTGCAAGCAGCACACCGCCTCAATTGCAAATGATCTGTGAGCCTTGCAATTGGCTCAATGTCTGAAGCCACTCTCTGAGCTGGCTCGCCAATGACGGCATTGCGGCTGGCCGCCTTCCAGCCACCCCGTGCGGCCAGGACCTGAGCATGCGCGGCGCCTGCGCCTCATTCCTCACGTCTCTCCTCCGGCCGTCGCTGCGCCGTCTGTGCGCCTGACGCCACCGGTAAGGAAGCCTGATGCGATGGCGTTCCAGTGATCGTCTTTCCTGAAGCTTCGTGCCGCCGAAGTGAATGCGGACATGAGCTGAGGCTTTGAGCAAGCGCCCAGCCTCCGGATGTACTGGAGAGAGCAATCGAACGAGGAGAATGTGCCACCCTCAGGCAAACAAGAAACCCGTCTCCGTCAATCACTGCTTCTCCCAAATCTCCCACAAAGCGTGGGGCACCCGGCCCAGACTGCGAAGTTCCCTCCCAAAATGGGAGCCCTGCAAGAACAATGAAGCGCAATGCCGTGTTTCCTTAACCCAACTCTTGCCAGTGGCCTGCTGCGTGCGCTGTACAAAGCGCCTTGAAGCCTAGCCGGTGCTTTGAGGCTTGAGATTCTGTCTGCAAGTGGAGCGAGCCCGCCTGTCCCCTTGTGGGGAATTTCGCGCTCCCTTCACAAAGTGCCACACAAAACCTGCACAAGTGAAGAAACTCCAAGTCCTTGCAAGGCTCTTGCTTCCAGCCAACCTCCAATGGCACCCATGCCAAAGGCACCGCCCAAGTCCTCCGGGAGTTGGAGGGAGCGCAGAATGTCTAGCTAAAAGCCAACAACTTGGCTTGTTCGCGCGAGCTCGGTCTGCACGTCTGCACGTCTGCACCGTTTTCTGCCTCGATGATGCGGTCCGGGCAGGGCTCTCGCCCCGCATCCCGGTCACCTGGTCACGAGTCGCTGATTCGCTGCTATGAAGCCCTCCCGACTCGCCTGTGTCCCATCGGCCCATGGCGCCCGGACCCGAGGGGCCCGAGGGGTCGGAGCTGACACGCTGCGGAAGGCGTGTAAATGACATGTAAATCTAAGGAATGAGAAGTCCTCCATTCTCAAGGTGGCTTCAAGGAGACCACGGGACCATTGATTGCCGCCCGTCTTTTGCAGGATTTAGTTGCTCTCCGATGTTTGCGTTTTTTTTTCTTTCCCCGGTCCGTTTCAGAGTGGGTTTAGGGTGCCTTCAGGCAGGGGGTCAGAAGGGGGCAGTCTTCGGGCGGATTTGAGTGTAGGTTTAGCGTGGGCTTGGGGCAGGTGTGGGGGGTGGGTTTAAGGCGAGTGAAGGGTTTGCCTTGGGTTGGTTTCTGGGGCTGGTTTAAGGTGAGTTTAGGTATGGGGCGTTCGGGTTGGTTTAAGGTGAGTTGTAGGGCGCCTTGCTTGGTCTTCGGGGGACTGCAAACAAAACCCGAATGAAAACATATGGGACCCATTCGTTGGACCCTGTCAATTTGAGATGGAGCGAACTCGAGCCAACTCGATTGATTGTTCACCTCCCTTGAATTCTGGCGTGCCTGCTTCAGCATTTGGGACGTGGTGCCAATTTTGCACTGACCAATCATCGATCATCCGCTTGTCCAATGACATGTGGCAAACAATTGCAGAACATAAGCAACTGTTCACAAAATGCCTGACTATTTGCCGGGAACAAGTCACATCAACTATGGCACATCTCGAAAGGCACGATATTCTTTCGCTTGCGCGCTGCGGGAGTTTAGTCCATGCGCATGTGCTCACTCACCCATCTTCAAGGTCGCCTGCTTCGTCCTGTCCAGGGGATGGCTTCAGCACGTAAACATCAGCCAAGGTCAACATGCAGCCCACAGAATCCAGCAATGCTTGCCACTTGTTCCAACCTCCTCGTTCACATCTTTTGTGTCAACCTGGGCAAACTGCTTCAGCATCAGCTTGTAAAGAACCAAATGCATCAGTTTGCACGGCAGCCTCGTGTGAACTGGCTGTGAGAATATCCTGCACGGATGGCTGTCCGGCGAGATCCTGCAATGTGCAGCTTGAAAAAGGTGAATCTACTACTACTACTACTACTACTACTACTACCACTACTACCACTACTACTAAAACTACTATGAAATCTAGTTCCTCTACGTCAACCACTTCAACCACCACTATGAAAGACTTCAAATACTCAGAAGGCGCCCGCGGTCGATCTCGAGTCGAGTTCAGTCCTCCACCAGGCTGGCGGTCTCCCCCAACTGCAGCTCCACCGCCCCTTCCGACACGTTGGCCACCACTGCGTAAGGCGGCAGCTCCTCGCAACGCGCACAACTGACACACGAAGCAAAACAACACTCAAACACGCACACACACACACAGAAACACAAACACACCCAACCAACCGACCAACCAGCCAGCCAGCCAACCAACCAACCAATCAACCAAAAGCAACACCAACTACATCAACGACCGCACCAACCAACAACAACAACACAACAACGCGCACACACACACACACACACATAGACACATGCACGAAGGCAGCGCATCTGATCCGCTCCGCTCATCCTTCCGTCCTCCAGCGTCAGTGCCACGGAGCCTGGCTGCAGGCCCTGGTCATCTGAGAGCGCCTGCTGCCAAAAGCTGAGCTTGTGAGGCCACTCTGACGGTGCCTGCAGGCCACGGACATCTCCCCGTGCTGCAGCCTCACGCACCTGTGGCATCGAGTGTGATTTGAATCAAGGCATCGGCGACATTGACCCGCTTGACCATTCGAGCCTCGCTGGTGGTAAGTTCTCGCTCGGCCAGCAGCTGTTGAACAAAACACCTGCTACAACGTGCCCAAAGGTGCGTGCCTACAATTCATCGACGTGGTGAAGCCCACACGAAATACGTTTTTTTTTTTTTTTTTTTTTTTTTTTTTTTTTTTTTTTTTTTTTTTTTTTTTTTTTCGAGGAGTTTTTATTCTGCGTTTGCGCTTCCGTCTCAGCTGCCTGCGTGTCTTGCAGTTTGAGGATGTCCAAACAGCGGGATGGATCTCAAAAGGTCTGAAACTGACAACTTGGCCATTGCTGATAAAACACGCGTTTTTGTGCGGGCTCTTGTCGTTTCGCTGGTGCGGAGGACTGTGCTGATCACGAACACAGCAATGAATCATGAGCTAACGGTGGTGCTCGGAAGCATGTGTTCGCTCCTACGGATTGTTTGGCCGTAGGACATACCCGCCCGCGTTGTCAGAGTTATCATCTGAGTTTGGGCATGGTGTGGATGGCTGAATATGTCACTGCCTGCTGCATGGCAACTGCCGCCGCAACTTCAAAGCACAGAGCTGTGCAGCACCCTCCTGTGCCTGGGGCAAACACCAAGGTTAGAAATGTGGCTGCAGCCCGTAAGAAACACAGAGATTATCTCGGTGTGGCACCAATCGCCAGGGGCAAGCACGCTCATGGTGCGCACCTGTCCTTCGAGGGTTCAGTTCACACGAGCTTGCCTTACTGCGGATTGGCCTAGCAAGAATGAGCAAAACATGAACGCAGCAGTAACATACTCACACGGTCAAGTCTTGACAGAGTAGCAGCTTCTGAATTCAAGCAAGCAACTTGAAACCTGAAGATCAACTGCTCTGAGTCTCTGCCGTCCTTTGGAAGGCACAAACGCCACACATCACCTGCGCTGACCCACCATGCGGTAGCAAAGGTTTCAACATGTGTGGGGCTCGAGACGAAAGGCGACGACTGGAAAACTTCGCGGAAGCACTAAGCTTCCGGGCCATGCGGGTGGGCAGCTTCACCTCTTGCTGCAGCAGCAGCGCGGTAGCCTTGCGATGCCCTTCTGGCCCAACGGCTAATGCAAGCTCGTGTCAAGTTCTGTGACAGCGCCTCTGAGATGAGGAAAATGCTCTTGTCGCCTCCCGTCATTGCGACTTTTGAACATGTTAGGGGAAGCCCTGAGTAAAGCCCGATTCTGTCACTTCACACTTTCCAGGCCAACAGTCCAACGGATGGGACCAATGGTGTGAGAAGGGTTGTCACCGGAACTGCACGACCCGTGCCTCACGCTGTCAAGGCCAATGGTCCAAGGGTTTGACCATGTGTGAGCATGAGGGTAGGTCCAACTCTTGTCATTGAGAGGGTCTGAATGCCTCTGCCCAAGAAACATCACGATGAGTGATACATACGAGTGATACTTGGTCTACCAAGTGTTCATGCTGACGCTGTTTTGGTCACTGAGTGGGAGATGCGGAGAGTTGGGGAGTACCACCTCCGAAGAAGATGGGTCAGGAGGTTTACAGCCCTAACTCGAGCATCCCCACTTGTCATGTCTGGAAGCTGCACAGAAAAGTCAAACTCTTGAAGTGACCAGTTTTGAGACTGGGTCCAAGGGATCGAAGGCCCAAATGTGACAGATTTCGTGGACGTGACCCTTTGCAGGCTGGATCCTGAAACTGCTGCTGAAACGGCTCCCATGCTGTCAATGAACCATACGACGTCTATTTCAGACAGCAGTTCCAGAAGCGATGGAAGAGCTAAAGCAGCCATATATCTGCTGTTTGCGCGGCCTCCAGCTGTCTATGACAGCAGGAGGCATAACGCATGAACGGCCTTGTGGCTGGGAACCGTCGATGAGCAGGGAGGGGTGAGGTTGGTGGAGAAGTTGGATCTGGGATCTCCCGCGGCCTTGCGAAGGTCACAAGCCTGCCAAAACATTGAAGAATGAGCTTGTCATGTCCTCGTTCTGCAATGTGGGGAGTGGACATGCTGAAGCTTACAGAAGAACAACCATCAGGTTCAAGGGTGGTACAACGAACGCGTTTGATGACAAGGATCAAACTGGACAAGCGCAACAACAGAGCAAACAACACCACCAACAATACAGGAGTCAGCAAGGACGTCCTCCTGGGAGGAGACTACGAGTACAGAGAAGGCCTATATTGGGAGAGAGTATACATCGAGCCACGCGCAGCATTTCGCGCGCCAGAGCAGACTGTGACATGACGGGCCAGACATCAAGCGGCTTACACCTTGGAGACAGACCGTAGAAGAGGAAGGAATGTCCTACACAACCTGAGTCAGATGATGGGGAACAACAGCAAGGCACAATGGCAACGGCAGCACAGGCAGCGCAACGTGACACACATTCTGCACGGCGTTGGTGTCCAATATGCGTACAAGCAAGAGGCAGACAAAACAACCACCCAAAGCAACAAAGCAAGCTTCCAATCATACCGCTAGACTTCGGCCAATCAAAGGCTTTGATGACAGCAACCAATTTGGGACAATCATGGCCACACAACTCAGAACCGCAATCTGACAATTTGTGGTGATGTCGCCATTCCTGTGGGGAAGTCTTCCTGATCTGACTGTAGTGTGGTGTGTGATGTTCTTCCACACTCAATGAGGAAGCGCTGTAGCATCCGGAGGAGTAGAACGATCACACAAAGCATTGCGCAAGTCAGAACACTCAAGGCACAAATCAGGCAGAACTGCAATCATGAACAGATATGCAACTCACAGCAATGGATCAACAAGCTACTTCAACAGATGGAACAGAGAGCAACACACACCACGTTGCGAGTGTGTTGGGGCAGTGCAGCGCATGCTACCTACAGCTAAACAATTTCACAGCGCCCGAGCCCAAGTTCTACGACGAGATCTGGCCCCGCAAAGGCACAGCCACAGACGAATACAACAGCACGGTCACAGCAAGGGCAGTCAGAAGGCAGATTCTGCCTCGCAAAGACAACCAGCAACTACTGGACTGTGTACACAGGTCCGTGGAAGACACCAGCGTCCGCACTGCCTGCGCCGGACTGTTGCAACTCCAGTGGCTGCGGCGCCAACAAGCAAAGCGCCTGCGCCACAGAATATCGCGGCCTTCCTGTTTGCGACCACCTCCCGTTGTCAGTCACGGCGATCTTCGTCCCGCGGATGGGCTGGCGCTTCGGGCTCGCGTATTGGAGGCTGCGGCTGCCTTCAATCGCTTCCCGGCCCTGCTCGCACGCAGATGCTCTGGGCGGTACCAACTTCTACGGCCCTTGAGAGTCCTGCGTCCAGATCGTACTTCGGGGGTGGCCGGCAGCTAGCGATATGATCCTTGTGCAGCCCAAAGCCGCCGTCCATTCTCGGAGCTTGGGGGTATTCTGGCGAATAGCCTGCTTGTCAGAGACAACGCGGGAAAGTTGAGGGGTGATCTTGAATGGCTGTTCTCTGCTTGCGCTGGGTTTGCTGGGCGCCACGCTGGCCCATTGCTTCAACTTGCTTTGTTGGGACTGGACACGGTGTTCTTGCTGGTGTAAAGAATGTCTTCCTGTGTTGCCTGCGAACTCTGACAAATTCACCTTTTGTATTGAATTGCCAGAAGTCTCCTGTGTGTCCTGTGTCCGCAGTTCCTTGTAGCGTATGTGTTGTTGTCGGTGCTATCACGCCGATCTGTCCTTGCTTGTGCAGTAGTCTTGGATTGTCATCCAGTGTAAGTAAGTTGGAAACCTTGTTCCACCAGCCTTGGAATTGATAGAAGCGGCTGTTTAACCTCACAAACGTAGAACGGTATGACATCTGTTGTTCACTGTGGTTTGTCACGCAAACCCGCTTGCAAAGCATGATGTGTTGGCTGGTCACTGTTCGCAGTTGTGGTCCTGTTCCATGCTCAAGTTGCTGTAACGGAAATTGTGTTGCAAAACATGGTGGGCAAACGTGTGCAGCCGCACCGTTGTCAACCATGAGACTGACCCATTTGTTGTCTTCTCTAAGCTGCTGCGCCGCGCCAATCATGGAAACTGTTGTATCCTGAGAAGGATACTGCTGATGAATCTGCTTGTTGTGGTAGTGCTAGGTGTTGCGCGTGTTTGATCCTGGGCTGTCGTTGTGTGCGTGATTGTGCCAGGTGATCTGTCTGGTGGTTGGTGTCGAAGTTGCCGCCCTGCATTGTTTAGCCATGTGTCCTGGCTGCCCGCATCTGTAGCAAACAATCATTTGCTGCGTGTTTTCTTTTTGCTCCTTTTCCTCTCTGGTTGTTATGATATCCATTGCTTTTTCCGTTGTTGCTGCATCCTTTGCCTTTGCCATACCCTTGTTGCCCTTTGAATGGGTTTCCTTGTCCAACCAGTTGCTCATGTAGCCGCCGTAGCCTTTGCCCTTGCCTTTGTCGTTCTTGCCTGTCTTGCCTTTGCCTTTGTTGTGCCATGTTGCTCCTATGTCCTTTGGCGCTGGTCCTTGATTATTGTTGCTGCTTGATGTGAGTACTTGTAGTCTGGTGAATGTTGATGCTGCTCTGTAGAACTCTATCGCTAGAGGCCTGATGCGTGCACACGTTGTGATGTTTCCTGCTTGCAGCTGTAGGTGTTGCTGTAGCGGTCCTTTTGTCTCATTGAGCAGTGTTGCGATTTTGGCTGCGCCTGGTAGTAGCGTGTTGTCTTGTTTGTGCTTGGCGGGTTGAAGTTGAAACTCCCAGGTTGTAAAGCTCTCTTCGCGCTTCTGTTGATCGTGCTGTAGTTTGAGTAACCTTGTTAGGTACTCAATGCTTCTTGTACCAAGTGGTATGGAATATCTCAGGTGCAGAAGCCGCCATGTTTCAAAGCTGTTGCCTTGCGTGTTTTGTCTGCAAGTTGTAGATGCTGGTCCATCGCAGGTGCTCACAAAGATGTGCTGTAAGTTGTTGCTCAGTTGTATCGATTATTCTTCTACTGCTCGTGAAGGTGCTGCTGTCTCAAGTTGGTCGTGTAACTGCCAGTTGCGATTGCTCTGCTTGTCTCAGTAGTCTGTTGTATGTAGGGTCTTGTAGCCCAAGGTCAGCAGTGATCTTGTACTTCCATTCTTCAAACGTGCTGCGCTCTCCTGTGAACCGTTCTGGTGCTGTCTTGCTTGTGCTTGTGCGCTCCCTCCAGCTGCTGCTGCTGCTGCTGTTTGCTGGCTGTGGCTGCTGCTGCTGGTGTAAATGTTGTTGTTGTTGTTGTTGTTGTTGTTGTTGTTGTTGTTGTTGTTGTTGTTGTTGTTGTTGTTGTTGTTGTTGTTGTTGTTGTTGTTCTTGTTGTTGTTGTTGTTGTTGTTGTTCTTCTTGTTGCTGTTGCTTCTTGGTCGTTGGTTGCTGGTTGGTAGTGGTAGTGGTAGTTGTAGTGGTAGTAGTAGTTGTTGTTGTTGCTGTTGTTGTTGTTGATGATGATGTTGTTGATGGTGTTGATGATGTTGTTGTTGTTGTTGTTGTTGTTGTTGTTGTTGTTGTTGTTGTTGTTGTTGTTGTTGTTGTTGTTGTTGTTGTTGTTGTTGTTGGTGGTTGTTGTTGTTGTTGTTGTTGTTGTTGTGGTTGTTGTTGTTGTCGCTGTTGTCGCTGTTGTTGTTGATGTTGTTGTTGCTGCTGCTGTTGTTGTGCTTGTGGTTGTGGTTGTGGTTGTGGTTGTGGTTGTGGTTGTCGTTGTCGTTGTTGTTGTTGTTGTTGTTGTTGTTGTTGTTGTGGTTGTCGTTGTCGCTGTTGAGGCTGTTGTCGCTGTTGTTGTTGATGTTGTTGCTGCTGCTGTTGTCGTCGTTGTTGTCGTTGTCGTTGTCGTTGTCGTTGTCGTTGTCGTTGTCGTTGTCGTTGTCGTTGTCGTTGTCGTTGTCGTTGTCGTTGTTGTTGTTGTTGTTGTTGTTGTTGTTGTTGTTGTTGTTGTTGTTGTTCTTGTTGTTGTTGTTGTTGTTGTTGTTGTTGTTGTTGTTGTTGTTGTTGTTGTTGTTGTTGTTGTTGTTGTTGTTGTTGTTAATGGCCTTGTCGTGGTTGTTGGTTGTTGGTTGTTGGTTGTTGGTTGTTGGTTGTTGTTGTTGTTATTGTTGTTGTTGTTGTTGGGCCGCCATGGCTTGTGTGGTGTATGGAAAGGCCGCCAGATCTTTCCAGGTGTGTAACTGTGTTCACTGCTCGGCTACCGTGTTAAACTTGGAGCAACTGTGTAAGCTGAATCAACCCGGCACTGTAGCGCTGTTTCTACTCTCGCTGTACGATGGGCTCAAGACATACGTATTTTTACAATAGCTTCCTATCTTGTCCGTCTGTCACCTCTTCTCCGATGCGGCCTTCTGTGCGCACCACGAAGCGAGGCGACAGCGAGGCATCCTGGCGCAAAGCGAATCAAGCGAAGCCAACCGAAGCCAACGACAGCTCCGACCTTGCCATGGGCCAAGTTGGTAAGCCCTTGGCCCTAGCAAACCAACTCCCAGGCCACTCCTTTCCGACATTTCCAAATCAATTTGTGCATTAGTTGGACTTGCCCAAGCAAGCCGGTCGGCCCATGGGGCTGGGACTGACACAAATACAGCAGCTGTGCTAGCAGCCAATTGAACGTGGACACAATTGAAACAAATGGCTCTGTACCTGCATGTCTGTTTGGTGGAACCGAGGCTTGAGAATCTGGCTCGGCTTGCACGGCCTGCTACAGATATTGCCCTGACATTCGGGTAAGCTTTGGATGGACCCAACGGATCTTCCGTTCAGCTCATGTGCACGGCAAAGAAGCTTCGCATCAGTAGGGTTTCTCATGCTGCGTCTTTCCCTTATGCTCACGACATGTGTATTGCAAAGCAAAGGACATGTGGCAACGCGAGTCTTGCGACTGATGTCTGGGACGTGGGTGAGACACCGAACGCACAACTCGCAAGGTGCGTGCGACATGACTTGCGATTGCAAGCTCACCTCGATCTCAGCTCAGGAACTGCCTGCAAAAAATCAAGCATACGCATGACACACCGTCGCATTGTGTAGGCGTCACATACTCCGCTGCGTCAAGGCTGATTTGCACAAAAGTCTGCATTGCTTTCCATGTTTCAGCTGGCACATAGTTTGGAAATGACACAAGTCAAGGTAGCGCATTACCATGTGCCTGCCAATCTTAGTTAGTGCAAGCAGCATTGGCGCATTGCTTGAGAGAGAACTTGATACAAACACAGAAAACACACAGACACAACACAAACACACACTCACAGTTGAACACACACACACACACCAACGGCTGCCACTCCGAATGCAAGATTCAAGGAGGGACTGGCGCCCCACATTGTTTGCCTATCCTGATACTTGATGCTGAGGCAACCCTCGAAGAGCGCTCGTCTTCAATTGCTCAGGCAACGCAAGTGAGAAGACATTTCCCGACATGCAACCTTTTCGCATGGCTGGGTCTTCAATCCTGCAGCCATATGCACCGCCACGGTCAAAGCCAAAGCCACTTTTACAGGGCCTGTCAGGGTTTTGTTGCTACCAATGTCCTTACAACGCTCACAAGCAGCTTTAGAGGATCAGTTACTATCTTTATACACCAGCAACACATTTTGTTCGACCATGGTTGAAGCGACGTGGCCAGGCTTGAGCATTCGGTGGAACTTTGCCAACCATCTTTGTTCCGAGGCTTTTGCCTTTTCAAATTAGAGTAATTCAGAGTAAGCTTGAGCTGCTCCCTTCGCGCTCGAGTTCGCTGAGAGCCATTGGACAGGCTAACTCAAGGACTGTTGCATCCTCATTGTGCTGGGCCTTTGAAATTGCCCAAGCCTCGACTTCCTCCTTCTTAGCTTTCAATTCAAGCAAGAGACCCTCATTCTGCTCATCCCGCCAGTGAGGGTTCAGTATCACATTGACAAACACCAGTGTGCAGTGGATGGGTAGTCCTGTCGCCGCCAACAGCAGGAGCACTGCCCTGAACGACTGCAAGTTGCCTGGAAGGGAACAGTGCTGGATGCCCTGAGAGGAGAAGTGCTGGATGCAATGCCTGAGTGCTGTGACGACTTCTTGCGTCGGCTCAATGAATTCCTTTGTGAGGACTGCGGGGCCCATGGGACGTCCCAGGTCAGCCAAAGGGACAAAACCTTGAGGCAGTGAGAGCCAAAGACACGCAGCCAACCAGGCGCCCAAGCGCGCCACCGAGAAGAGGCCCTCCGGCCACCCGACACCTTGATTCGACCTCGAGGGCGCAAGGCCCAGGACCCGTGTGTGATACCCGAAGAAGCAGCTCTGCAGTGCCAGCAGTGAGCCCAGGAAGATGCTCTCTTCATCTTCAGCAGCGCAGGCCTTGTTCAGCATGGCCGCCAAGATGTAGCACAGCGATGGTAGAAGCGGATGGAAGACCTTGCTGACGATGGCAAAGGACGCCAACTCCGCCAGCGCGGCCAACAGCATCCAGGCCTTCAGCGCCTGAGACGTCAGGGGCAGAACGGCCTTCAAAAGATGGACCTTCTCCGGGGCCTCGAAATCCAGACGCCCAGCCGCGATGGCCCTGGCAGAGAACACGAGGCCGTAGACCCCACTGGCCATGGTCAGGGGACTAAGCTCCGCCATGAAGAGCAGGGCGTAGGGCGACACCAGCCCTGTCCCAGGCGCCTCAATGTTGCGCTCGGCCATGAGCATGTGCTGCCAGCGCAAAGTCGGAACCCCCTGCCGGACTGAAGCAGCTGCCTCGCCCCAGGGGCTGCTGTGCTCCAGAATGTTAGTGGCCATGCCACTGCTGAATGCCACGAACAGGGAGCACGTGAAGGCAAAGAGAAAGTCCTGAACATTTGAGAGCTTCCCTCCAACAGCCAAAGCTAGAATCACGCGAGCTCGTGAGTTTGACTGTCCTTGTGCACAGCGAAGGTGACAATCTGGTATGCATCGTTGAGAAAGTCAAAGAGGAACACGCACAGCTCAACAAAGATGCCGCCTGCAGTGAGAGTCTGACAGGGAGCTAGGCACTCGGCAGCTTGGGCGCTTGGGGGCGTCTCCCAGGCCTGGAGGCCAAAGGCTGAGCGCCTGCACAGGCTGATAGCCTGCCGGAACCATGATCCATGGCAATGGCTCTCGAAAAAGCCCGCGGGTGCCCTAGACGTCTCTTTGTGACTGTGAAGACAGTGCCTATGTCAATGTGCAACGTGTGCAACATATGCAACATCGCCATGGGAATTCATGTTGTGCCGCATGGATCTTGCGAGTCGCATGGAATCCTTGGAGCCAAAACTTGGCGATGGATTATGTTTGCAACATGCACATATCTCGCCTGAGGCCAAATCTCCGTTGCAAACTTGCTGGTTAAGTCCTGCGAAGTAGGTGCGACTGGTGGGCATCCCAATCCTACCTAGAACATTGGCTCATAGACTCATAGTCTTCTATTGATCATTTATTTTAATCCGATCCCAAACACAGATTTAGGTTTGTACCCTGCAGTTGATCTGCCCGATCGCCTGAATACCGTAACCAACAGGACAGTGCTCGATGTAGACACTCTGCGATTCAAGCCCCGTATACGCATTATCCGGATGATAGCGTCTAACGAACAGTCGTTGCAGGACACTGCAATTTGCCATTCTCGGATCAATTCCATACTCACATTCTTCTGTAATCATCATCGTCGTCAGTCTCGATTGTTACTGCACAACCGTTTTTTTTTCTGTGAAGCACCTACGTATAAACCATGGTTTGAGCAATACCGACTTTGGTTCTCTCTCGCTCTCTCTCTCTCTGTATAATATACCAAGTGAATTGACTAAATGAAGCATCGCATTTTTGACCGAGCATTCAAGAGGGAACCATGAGATATAGTTTGCATCAACTTGTTCCTGGCTTTTCGATCTGGACCTTGTGATTCTCTGAACGGTGGAGGGTCGGAAGCTTGCACCGTTGCGTTGGAACGTTTCGAACAAGGAACAAGGCAGCATTTAGGGGGACACATGGCGTGTTCATCAAACACGACATCGAGCAACCTCACATCCGACGTGCATCACTCCGGAACTTGACCGAGCAAAAACGTAAACCAATCATGGTCTCTGGTGCGACTCGGCCGGTTGGCCGGACTATTGGAGACCGCTAGGTGTTTGTTGAAGCCAGCTATTCAGCCCTGGTCCGACGCCCGTGGCAAGCTCTCCGTAAAGGGACCTCTCAGCCCCTGGCGCTGTGCTTCGGCCAAGTCGATTTCATCTGTCTGCGCAGTTTGCGCAGTCTGCGCAACTGGCGATTTTAGCGCCACTTCCTCGATGCACATTCTGCGGGAACAATGGATACCAGCGGGAAGGATGAAACCTTGCAAGATGTTCGTCAGGGCCGCGCTTCCTCGACACGCTCTATCTCCATGATCCGGACCTGCTTGCACAGCTTCAAGTGCTCAGGAACTCAGAACAGAAGCTGTGTCGGCCGTGCATGTTGCCACACAAGTCGCACCTCTTTTGGAGTCTCAGTTTGCACCTTTGGCTCCTGGGGCCGAAACCAACAGCGGAGTGTTTTGGGAGCGTGTGGCTCCTGTGGCTCCGTTGCCTGCGACTGCGCCTTCGACTTGTTCTCCTGCAGGCCACTGATATGCAGGCAATCACAAGTTGTGCATATTCAAAAGGGATCTGCAAGTTGAGCTTATACATGCCGCAGCCAGCCAACCACCCTATGTCACAAACTCCATCCTCAGCAAAGCGCTCCAAGACCTCGACCTACGAAGCTTGACTCGTTTGACTCGGTTGCTCTGACCTTGGAGATTGGCCTTTTGCCGAAGCTGCAGCAGATCGTTGCCCTGGCCAATGACCTCCCGGTTTAAGGAGTGATCTGGATGCATCAGTTTCATAGCCTCAAAGTAAGATGGAACCCGAAGAGACGTTGTTCTTTCCTTCTTTGTTTAAACAAACAACTACTTACCCTTTTGGAGGTGCCATGTCAAAATGATAGTTTTCGGGGAGTCTGCATATGCCGAGACGTCGCCTTGGGTGAAATCTCCTTGAGATGCTTCACCAGTGTGCTCACGTGCTGCGCCAGTGACTGGCATGCATTTCACGTGCAAAGTCTTATTGATCTCACACACACTGCAAAACTCTTGGTGTCTTTGGGAAACATGAGTGATCGAGCAAGCTGAACAACTCACTTGCAAGTGGCAAGACGGCAACGCCCAAGCCTGCTCGGATTGCAGTGCCTGACGCTCTGGAAAAACGTGGGCCAGCCGGCTTGGGCATGAGTAATCTTGCATGGGCAACTGATCATTCAGTTTGGATGGCGTCCACACAAAGAGCTCCAGCCTCAAGCTGTTCAAGAGCCTGATTCATCTGACTTTCCAACTGACCCACGCGCGATTGGAGCTTCACCTAGCGGCCACATGTTTGACTGGGCAACGGGCGCTTGGAGTTCCACCTGGACGAGATCTTTCTCTCTGCCCTCCTCGCTGTGCGGAAGCCTGCGAGGTGAGGCGAGGCACCTCTGAAGATTCAGGGCACTCCTGCCTTGGGCTGGGCATGCGGGCAAGATGTTGAACATCCTGTTCTTGCCTGGGCATATTCTCATATCGGACAGGTTTGGCCGTAAAATGCCAGCAAGCAGGGCAAACTCACGTTGTCCCCCAGACCGGGACGCGATTAGATCCCTCTGTGGCTGCTGAAGGCTGCGTAGCTATGCCCAGCCCCAGCCCCCAGCTCAAGCCACACGGCCCACGCATTCATGTGTCCAGGGCCAGCCAATTTCCCTACAAATTTGCACCTTTGCTTGGCCCAAGCCCACTGTTGAAGCCATGTGGAAACACGCGGACATGCACCCACCCTCTACTTTGGAAACCGGCTCAGGCATTTCGGCGCCGACTCACTCACTCTCATAAACACAAGACTTATCTCAAAGCCAGCCAAAAGCGGACTGGCCGAGGCGGGCAACGCAAAGCGTGTACAATTTTTTGGGATTTTCAAGGAACATTCACTTCCAACATATTTCTGCGTCGCCTGTCCAGGCTGTGCTGCATGATCTGCATCTGCTCAGTGGCATGGACGCCGGAGTTCTCCAAATCCTTCACAGATCTTCACAGCCAGATGCTAGCAGCTGCTAGCATTCTTCCATCGGATCTCTCGGCCTGCAAGCGCTGTTGCAGGGCGCGGAGGCGGCCGTCCATGTTCTCCTTGGCTGCTAAGGCCTTACACATCTTTAGGTACACAGGTAGACATGCCTCACATGGGTCAACTCTCAAGTCCAAGTATCTCTCTCTACCTTGTCTATAAGGGTGCGGAACTGCTCATCCTTGGTGTCCTTTCATGAGCCATTCGCCCCAAATGCCTAGTGCATATCTTCCAGCCTGCAGCGTTCGCAAGGATCGTGCTTTCTCCTCCTGGATCTCGAGGCGAGAGCGCAAATCATTGGACTCCTTCGGAACTGAAGAGATCGAAGGCGATGCTTGAAGATCACACGACACATCTGACGAATGCGTTTGGCCTGGAGCAGCGAGTCGATCTTCTGAGAGACACCCTGACGGGCCACAAGCTGTCAAACTCGAAAACATATAAGAACAAGCATGGCGCGCACGACGCGGCGCCCGGTCTTGCCACGAGTCGGAATCTGAATTTTCAATTTGCCTGCGTGGACAGCTCCATCTCTGCGAGGCGTTGCTCCATGGATGCCTGCTGCACCAGCCACTCCGCCTCGAGTCAAATGCCATTTCATGAGGTTGGACACATGCTACAATATGCTACATGCGCGCTTTGCAACGGTCTGCCTCCCGCGCCCGGGTCTTCTCCGTGTGCGTGCTGAAGGCTTCGTCGTGCTGCGCATGTCTGGCCCCATGGCTCTCCTGCAAAGGACGGACATCGAATTTCGGAATCCGACAAATCGCTCCTCCAAATCTTCCAAGCGAGCATGGAGTTCTGCCAGGCCCGTGTTGGTGTCCTCCAAATGCCACGAAAAGTCAGTCGTTCCAATCAAACACATTGTCAATAGTCAGTCCTCGGCGTGGGAGTGATGCTCTTCCACCAAGCCTTCAATCCTCCAGCTCAATTCTCCACACATGCGTCTTAGGCAAAACGCAAAACCTCATCTACCTTGTCCCTTGCACATCTACGCAACATGACAGCAGCACAGGGAAGAGGTTTACGGGATCCAGCCTCAGCATGCGCATGTTCAGCTTCTTAACCTGCAGTGGCACCAACCCTGATGCTCAAGGCTTGCGGGGGCTCGAAGAGATCGGATGTCGGAATGGCATGAAGCTTGGGAGTCGCCGACGCTTTACAGTTGATGTTGAGCCTTGGGCTGCGGCGGCATCCTCCGCCGCAGCCTTTGCCACCCGCTGCGCTGAGCCCAGCTGCTGCACGGACTGCTCGGCCTGAGCCAAGCGATCCCAGCGATCGCGTTCGGTATGGCGAAGCGCGAAGCCAAGACACGGGCCTCCAAGACACGGGAGCGCAGCTCCTCCTCGATCTGATGGCGCCAGTCCCAAAGCTTTGAGTCGATTTGATCCATGCGCCGCAGCCTCAGCTTGAGCGGATTCAAGAAGGAAAAAACGAAAAAAAGAGCCCGTGAGCCCGGCTGAGAGCCCGGCTGAGACTGCATTTCATCGCTGAGGCCTTTCACCTCATGGCACTGGCATCAGAATTTGGCGCTGGCGGTCTCTCGCGGCACGGACGCTGCCAGACACTTCCGCCATGCGCCGGTCGAACTTGGGCTGCAGTGCCTCCACCGCGGTGACTTTCGCCTGTAAACCGAAATGCGGAAAATCGGCAAACGAAATGAACTGAAAGGGGCAGGCCTCCATTCGGCTCATCGCCACATCTCTCATTCGGTCTCCCTGCCACTTGACTTGTATGAAGGGGAAACCAAAAATCAAACAGTCCGGTCAATTCTGCAGAGCGGAGCCCATCCTATGGGACACTGAATTCTCATGCTCGACATTCATACGGGAAACGCGGCATTCTGGTGCCTGCTGCTGAACCCGCGCAATCTGCGTGTTCAGCCTCTCTTCCACGTTTATGAGGGCACTGTGCACGCCTCTCGGTCTCGGGAGAGCAGAATGTTGCACTCGCCGCTCTCTCGCCAGGGCCTTCGGGCTTCATGCCGTTGGTCGGCGTGGTGGAGCGGAGCCGCGAGTTCCGGGCACCCGCCGACTCGATCCAAACCACCCGAAGTTCATTTGCTCGCTCCCTGCTCATTGCTCATTGCATGCTCACTGCATCATTGCATGCCTGCTCTCGTGCTCGGAACTGGGGCCCGGGCTGTAACCTGTGAAAGGCCGAGAGGCGGCACCAGTCGCAGAGCGCTGCGCACCGACTCGGGGCTGGCCTCTCGCAGCGCATTCGAACAGGCAAGCACCAAAGTGCAAGAGACCAGCCCACGATGTGGCAACTTTGTAATTAAGCATTACACCATGCACATATGGGGGAATAGGACCGTAGATGTAGCTGGTTTATTTCTATTCCCAAAGCATCTGGTTTTCTTCATCAGAATGGAAAGATCAGGAAGAATATTAATACTGTGAGAGGCAGATTATATTTTTGAACAAATGGGAAAATTCATTGCACCATCCTTGCTTGACATAAAGACTTGAAGTGTCTTCCAAAGCGTCTCTAGCCGATGGGGCAGAAGTTCTGGCCTGTTTCCATTGAGGCTTCAGGTTCTCAGGTTCTGAGGTGAGGTTCTGAGGTTCTGAGGTTCGGAATCTCTGATGCGTTGATTGATTCCGGTGACACATTCATTTGGTGATTTGGTGTCCGCTCCTCCGAGGCTTCCAGCGCAGCATCCTGCCCAACGGAGAAGCTTAATGGAGAAGCTTGAGCGACGTCAGTTTTCAAGGCTTTCTATGTTTGCAAGGCTTGAGAAACGGCCTGCCAGTGCAAGTCCTTTACAACCCCTAGCAGGCACGCAGTGAAATAACAACGCAAACAGCAAGAGCTCTGAGAGAGGTGCCTGCATCGCTCGCAGGGACTAAGTTGGGCTGCTGGTGACAGCCGATTTTGGCTTCTGCTGACAGCCTAATCTAGTTTGAAGTGCGCCTGTCGAGTTCGGGAATGCCCATTCTGCCTGAAACCTGACAGGGTAAAACAGCTTTGTCAGAGGTTGCTGCCAATGCTGCAATCTTTTTATGCGGCTCATGTTGAATGCTGAGAGCACGGGCAGGTGCAGCACGAAAGCACAGTGCATTCTCGAGTTCCAACTCGACGGCACGCCACGAGACAAATGTGCACGGCAACACCAGGCCGTAAAAGTCGCGGATCTCTCGCCTAAGATGGGGTGAGATGGCATGGTTCGCACCCAATCTCCATGGCCCAGGCCACTCTTCTAGCATCACGGTCTCCACAGGCACATACTCTTTGGTAATCCGCCTGAGCACCTGCGCGACTTCTGACTTCCATGCAATTTCACTTAAACTTAAGGGCACCTTTTCCTTTTTCTCCTCCGGCTCAATCTCCTTCTCGGTCTCAGGCTGCCCATCTGGCTCCTCCTTTGCCTGACATCTCGCAGAACTGGACCCATCTCTCGCAGCCGGTAATCCATGCCTGAGCTTGGCTATCTGCCTTGCGTTGCAAGAGTGAGGCTAGCCTTGGCAAACCTTCCCGGCCTTCAGCTGCGCTGAACGTGCTTCACGGCGCGCTTTTGCTGACGGCCTAGCCGAGCTGTCGAGCTGTCCCTTCTCGCTTTCTGGTCGCTTTCGTCTTTTGAAAATTTTGTGTTTGCTGCAAAGAGCTGGGCCGTTGGAGCTGGGTGCCACACGCCAGCTCTGCCCGCTTCTCGAAGGTCGCCACGAAAAATCCGCCGGTGTCCATGAGATGCCTGGAGAGCAATCGGGCCGGCTCCGTGTCGCTCGGTATCGCTCGGTCTCGCCCTCAAATCGCCAGGCGCGCGGAAGCATGCGCCGGCAGTTGCTTCGCACTGCATCCTGGGCCACCAGTAGACGGTTGAACACGGCACGAACCGCGCAGCGCCGAATTTGCTGACAAAGTCTGGGCTTCCATGCCCACTGGTCTTTGAAGTCGTCAGGACCTGGAGGATACCTCTGGCAGCTTGGCCAAATTGGGAACGCTGAGACGAGCTGAGACTGAAGCATGGAAGCTATCAGCTTGGTTTTGCCTGCACCGTGTCAATTGATCCCAATCTGATCCCAATGAACAAACTGGCAACGTCTTCAACATGCGCACCAACTTTGGTGCACGCTCGCCTGATTTGGCTTCCGCAGGGGTGCTCTCGAAGTCCTGGACAACATCTTGTACGAGGCTGGAGGTGCTGTCTGGATATGGATTTTTTTTTGGGTCTACACTATCCGCTCAAAGCGTGAGATGCGCGCTCAATTCTTGCCTCGAAGAATTCGCCGTCCTTCTCAGGATTTGGCACCACCTCAGCTCAGTACGGCTGAAGGCCTGTCGGGCGGAGGTTGAGCCAGCAGCCCATGTTGAGAGCCCATGCCCTGCCCGGACATCCCCTCAGTTGGACCCAAGCGAAGCGGATGTCACTTGTCGAGGCACAAAGGTCAGCTTGGGGACCGGCTGAGGCTTTCTGGCGGAGGAACCAGCCTAAGCACAGCGCCCTATCTGTGGGTTCCCGAAGCTCACCGCTACACTCAAGCATAGCTTTCAAAACGCAAAGGGTGTAGCGCTTCAAATTTGCAAATGCCGAGCTGCGCCACAGAAGCGCCGTGCCGCCGCAAGGCAGCGGCAACAACAGCTTCATCCTCTATGGGATTCAAGCTGCACGTGCTGTAGACCTTGGCCAAGTGCACTCCAAAGCCTTCCGCCTCTATCCGCCTCTATCCTCTTCTCCAGGTGCCAGGCTAGGCGACCGCCCACCTTCAGCAGCTCTAGGCCGCGATACAGGATGTTCAGCTGCCTGCGAGAGACTCCGAGAATCGGCACGGAAGGATGCTCAGCTGACACAATCCATCTCTGCATTGGAAGCAGTTTGCTGGGCAATTTCTGGCTATGTTGCAGGCGGTCACCGGGGTCCGACAAAACACTTTCTGGGACCATAGCAAATGTTACAAAGCACATCCAGCATGTCAGCGGGTGTGGCGGCCACAGCAGATTTGGTTCAAGCACCTAGCATGCGTATTCTGTAGGTGGTCACTGGGCTATAGATTCCGGCGGCCGCAGCAGATTGCATCTTGCATGCTATGTTGTTCGCGGTCGCTGGGGAGGAAATTCTGGCAGCCACAGCGTATCTGGAGCAAGCATCCGGCATGTCTGTGTTGAAGACGGTTGGCGGAGTACAATTCTGGCGGCGCGAGCAGATATAGATAGAGCAGCATTTTCTCTAGCATTGAATCTAGCATGTCTCTGCTGCAGCCCGATCACCTGGTACAACAGCCGATTTTTCAAGGTTGACGCACTTGAAGGTTGCATACATCACAAACGGCCGAGTAGCATGCAAGAACTAATGTTCCCTACCAGAAACCAAACCTTGAAAGCAGGCAGGCGGCCACAGCGGATATGGAGCAAGCATCTAGCAAGGCTTCAGTCTCTACGTCTGCATAGCCGACCTTTTTTCTTCGCAAGCTAGCGCTCACATGACCTTGACCTGAGTAATGCAAGCTCCTCACCCTTTGCGTTGAAGCGGCAAAAGGAGAAACTAATGACTTGCTCCCGCGAAGCATGCACTGGGGGCGCTGCCTTCGGAAGGAGCACACGGCACATTCGGCTTCACTCTCCGAGTCGCTGAAGGTGCTACAGGGGATGTGGATGAAGGTGTTCTTCCTGCCAAGGGATCAGTCACCGTCACGCTGTCCTGTGCTCACGTCAAGCCATGCCGGCACTGCATGCGCACGCAGTGACCCTCGAAGCTGCAGTGGGCGTTCAGCCGCAGCTCGCCCTGCGCGACTCCAACCCACCTCAACCCACAATAGCCAGGACACCACGTAAATTCCAGGCCATGCCAAAACATGGGGAGAAGCGATATGGTCAAAGTTGGGCAAAGAACCCTTCTCTGCCGCCATCAGCCTTGCCTCACCCCGTCCCACTTATCTCTCGACCGAGTGCCAGTGCCCTAGCCGCATTCTGTCTCCCGTTTCTTGCCTGCGGCCCGTCCTGGAAGGAGGGGCCTTGGTCTCACAAGGGTTGAGCAATCTGGTTGAGTGTGCCGCAGTGCCGAGGCTCATTCTTTTTGCAGTTCTGCGAAGCTCGCCAGCGTGAAACTTTAGATCCAAAGGACAGCATTGGCTCACCCCGCTGGGCCTGCCATCTGCCATTTCCGGGTGTTCCTGACTTGATTTTAATGATGCTCAGACGCAACACCTCAAGCAGGACGCTCCAGGAAAAAGAGGAACTTCGCCTCAGCTCACCAGCTGATGGGGTACATTCAGCAGTGACGGTCTCTTCACCAGCCTCATTGCAGGAAAACTGTCATGTGCACCTTGAGATGATTGCAAGGTTTCTGTCTCGGAGAATGGGCAACAAGGTTGACTGGGAATCACGACTTGCTCCCAAAATAGGCACCTGCAGGAAGACCGTCTCGGAAGAGGAGTCCTCTTCGACTACTCTCGTCCGCGACACTTTCATTGTCTTCTGCATCAGGAGCATGTCAACCTGCCAGACGCAGATGGCCGGTGACCACTGGTGAAGACCTGAACAGCCTACGTGCTACAATGCGTGCCAGTATGAGCGTATGAAGGTAGCGAGGAGTGAAGCCCAAACACTGGAAGACTCAGTACCGGCACTGTGGACTCAAACAAAACCCGGGCGCGTCGCCCCAATCCTCCTGCGGCAGTTGGCCCCGCTGCCCCCGCTGCTGCGCGGGGTCCATGGTGTTGCGCCGGCTATTCGCTAGGCTGAAGCCAACCTGGCCCCGAAATCTGCAATCCTAAAATCCTAAAATCCCAAAATCCCAAAAGATTCCATGAGCCTTCTTCTGCTCCCAGTCGTAGATGGTGTAGTACCTGTGCAGAACGGGCTCGCCAAGGATGAAGATCTTCGGGCCCAGCGGCTCTGCCAGCTTTACCTCATTGTTTCAGATTTCAGTCACCAAAGAGTCATGGGACTGAGGGGGACTTGAAAGAACAGCGTCAAGTTGCTGCCATCAGCCTTGGGCTGCAGTGCCGCCTTGTCGACAAGTTGCCGTTTTGCCTCGGGTTGCAATGCCAATGCTGGAACGACTGGAGTCAAGGAGTTCAAGTCACCAGAATAGGGTTTTGTTTGGTGTGCGTGCATGACATGTTTCTTCGTGAGTGCATCCTGGAGCTAAGCCCAAGTTTAAGCCAGGCCACGCAGCAAGATCACCTACGGCCAGAGAAAGGCTCATTGAGAACACACGGCAAACAAATGACGAAAGCAGGCAGCAGGATGCATCGGATGCAGCCCAGCCTGAGTCAGCTCGTACGCCTGGGGCCCGTTCCGAAAGGCAAGCGCCGTGCAAGCCACCGGTGATTGGCCATTCCGCTCTCACGACTTGGACTGCCTGCAGCGGAGCCTACCGAGACGCCATCTCGTAAAGGCAGCCGGCGCATGTAGTTGAAAGGGTAAAGGGTGATGACCTTCCATGCCGAGATCAAGCTCAAGCGCGACGCACATTCCGCCTGCGTCCAAATGCATCCAATCCACCCTGGCATGTACCTGTCTGTGGTTTTGAGATCGTCAGGCCTTCCCCTCGAACAACTCGATGTCCAGCTGCGGCGCTTGTGCATTGCGGCAGTCCAGCAAATCTCCCGCATCCTGCTTCAAGCGGCGCTCTAGGTCCTGGCACAGCTTGGCGTCACAAGCTTCGGGCTTCGGTCTTCGGTCCTTGTCAAAGGGCGCCGGCACCCCAAGGTGTGAGGTGCCAGTGTCCAGAACACCCCGACAGGAGCCATCCTTGCAGGCCTCTAGCCTAGGATTGCGCATGGCACTCGACCGCTCGACCGAACTCGACTGATCCAAAAGTGGAACTTCAGCTGAAGGACTCTTCCCCGTCGACGCGCACGGCGCGGATGCGGACTTGCCAGTAGCCGAGATCCTCGCAGGACTCATTATGAACAAGCATCGACCGCATTCATTGGGCGACATTTTAGGCACCCAACCCAAACCAGTTTATTGCAGAAGCCGGCGGAAGAAGGCAGGCAAGCTCGGAGACTTGGAAACACAGTGCAAAACTGATGGCCGAGTCATTGACCTTGAACGGAAGATAAGGTTTGGCTGAAACTGCGTCGTTCGAGCCTCCATTGCCACATGAGACCAAGTAATAGGTTCCAGCAGTCCTTAGCAAGGCGATGTGACATCTTAAATCCAAACATTCTTATCAAGTTTCTTTCCCACATTGCAAAGGTGCCGCTTCCAGCCTTCCAGCCTTCCAGCCTTCCGGCCTTCCGGCCTTCCAGGCTTCCGGCCAGGGCTCGGCGAGGGTCGAGGCCTCCCATCGCCACCTCGCTCTCCTCACCGAATTCGCCGTCGCAGAGGAACACGCCGAAGCGGGGCTTTGCCTCGGACGCTCGCATTGCGCGCATGGCGCGCATGGCGCGCATGGCGCGCGTTGCGCGCATTGCAGAGAAAGCTTTGAACATGCTCTCTTGACGCCTATCACTCGAGCCGTTGAGGCGGCAACAGCCAAGCCAGAGTGAACGATCATGTCGAAGGTGCTGAAGTTCCTCCATGTAAGCGAACAGTCTTAAAGTACAGAGCACGTAGCAACAAAGAACACATGCCACTTTTGTGTTCTCGCCTATTCATGGTGAGTCCAGGCAGGCCGAGCCCAAGGATTCCATCGAACTGGAAGGTCTTGAAAGGCTGTGAGGACATTTCCACGGCAACGATCACGCTCATCCTGATAAAATATTCGCACCCGAGACGCTCGAACCTGCTCCGAAAAGCTCAGGACGCGGCTCCACACAAATCGGGTTGTAGTCTACGGGGTCTGATGCCTTGGTCTTCCGGATTCTCTGACTGCCCCGCGAGCAGTGCGAGTCTCGTCTCAGGATCTGACATTCTGAGAAGCGTTGCTGCGACCCAGGCACACGACATCCTTGGCAAACCTGATAGCAACAGTCGCAATTCTGCTAGCAACAGGTCGCGCCGCATCGGTCGAACTGTTTGCTGCAAAAAGAAGGTGCCGCGAAGGCACTCACCCGTAATCTCGCCGGTGCCAAATCCAATGGTGACCTGGCACCGACGAACCATGTGCCATGTGCTCAAAACTGCATACTTTGACATGGGAATCAAGAGCTGCGGGTTGGGATCAATCCACTTATCCGCCTGTTCTCCCAACTCGCCATCATGCACACGAGAGCCATCAGAGTTGATGGGCATTGCTGTCTTGGATTGGCTCTGGCCTTACAATGGCCAAGCGAGCAAAACTAAATGCCACAAAAGCTTGGCAGTCCACCCTCGCCAAGCAGCTGTACAGCTTTCTGTGTGGCATCAGGCAGGCCTCGCTTTTGCACCTGAAGCATCCGCTAGCAATAACTGCACGCAAAGGCTTTCCTTCTGAAAGGATCTGCCCACTGCACGCTGGCCAAGTTGCTCGGCTGCAGGAAGGACAATGTTTCCAGAGCCAGTGTCAAATACTACGCGCATCTCTTGAGGCGGCTGACCAACTGAGAGTACCTTTCTGCCGCTGAATAGGTTTTCAGCAGCTGCACTTGCTTGGGGAAGTGTTATGCTTTCTTGTAAATAGTGCGTGACTTGGGACGATGCAACCATCTCTGCACTGTGGACTGATTTCGTGCAAAGTCGCTCCCGAGTAGGAGGTCTTGAACGACGCGATCTTGCCACGCCTGTAGACAGGTACCTCAGCTCTTGCCTGCCAGACATGCGTAACAAAGACGGCGCTGCCCTAACAAAGATCTGTAACTGCCCTAACACAACAATTGGTCATCACCTACAGGACATCAAATGACAAGCTGCTGATTCTCGGCGCAAGCCAATGATGTGGGGCTTGGCCTCGCTTGTGGGGGATGGCCACATGTTTCTATGTTCTGAGTATCGCTTTGCAGCAAACTACGCGAAGGCCGGTCTTTGCATCCGTCCCACTGAAACTACCTGACAGCCTGTACTTTGCACAGCTGCCAGCCTCAGTTGGCGGCCGCTGCAGCATGCTGACAGAGTCAGCATCCTGATCAAAACCCGCGGGCGCGGCGTGCAATTTGGGGGTCTTAGTGCAAGATGCATGGCCTCTGCGGCCACGAACGCCAAAAGGCTGATAGTTGAGAGTAAAGCGTAGAACCTCCAGAGCCACCATGCGCACGCTGCAAATTCACGAACAGCTGAGGCTCAGGCATGACGGAGGGTTGAGTATCGGATAAAAAGAGTGCGTTAATAGAGCTTGAGCCCATAGGCAGCGAGCAACACTGCAAGTTGGCACTGCAACGGACAAGCGCACTATGCTAGGCTCAACAAAGAAGGTTTTAGACATCTGGGCTTCAAGAGTAAGCCGTTGATCGGCATCGACCGTTGATCGCGCTGTCTGTGAGGCCAAGCACACTCTGAACATTCTGCAACTTTCAGACCCAGGCAGCAAGTCTCATCCGCACAGCTGCCGGCCACAACGTGCTCCTGCGGGCGCATGCGTGAAACGCGCTCGTTGGGAAAGCTGACTTCTCGACTGGGCCGCAGACTGTCTTGGCCTCCATGGCCTTCCCTTAGACATGCGGCATGAGAGCTGTGGCCACACGGTGTCAGGTGTGAAATTCTCGGCTCCCAAGTGCTGCCCGCTCGCTTTCAAGCCGCTTCTCGGTGTTGTGGCCTCGGCAAGCCCGGTCACATCAAACATGTCACTCTCAAGCAAGATATTCCGGGTTGCAGCGGGATTTGGCAATCCTCTCTTCTTGGCTGAATGGCAATACTATGTACGTAGCATTGTTAGTGCCTTGAGTCTGTACTTCAACGGGAGCAGGAAATAGGTTGACCTCATGAGCCAACTCCAATTTCACACAGCACCTTTACACCTGCCATTTCACCTGGAACGTCTACCAAGTAACCTGCCGTGGTGTATGAAGAATCTTGAACATGACACAAGTCAGTTTGCCATCACTCCACGAGTGCTCATGCGAGACAAGTGTCCCTGAATGTCCCTGCTTTGCCCAAGAGTAACACTCTCACACTTCCTGCTCGGGCGATTGTCCCTCGACCAGTGGCAAAATCGTGATGAGCCGACGGCTCTTAACGGCACCACCAGTAGCTTACGACACGCTGTTCAAAATTTGTTTGGGATGCTAGTGGTGTTGCGGGTAATGCTAGTGTGGAATGATGCTGGCACGACCCGACAATGGCTTGAAATTTGCTCGAGAAACACAGAAGCTGCCAAAAACCGTAGAAGCCGCAAAAGCTAACAACGCACAAAAGCCCGCAAAAAGCAGGAAACGCCAGAAGCCAGTTCGAAGGCAGCAAGTTCTGAGTACCCAAATAACGGGCCCACCCTTGCTTGCCAAGTAACAGTCCTCTGTTTCGCAGGCCCACGCATGAGTCTGGTGCGAGTCGCCGTCTATGTGGCCGTGCGCGTGTCCGCAGGAATTTGCATGACCTTCTTCATGGCAGCCGTGAAAATGGTGGCCATGAGAGCCATGGGAGGTGTGGCAGGCAATCTCCGCATGGGCATCGCCATGAGCACTGTCATGGTGGCCATGGCCCATTCCGCCTCAAACTGAGAACTGCAATGCGTTGCCACCAACATATCTCGGCTTGCCGTGCCCGGACCCCTTTTCACTCTTTGCGCTCTCTTGGGACCCCGCCTTGGCTTCCTTGCCTGAGTCTCAAGGTATTCAGAATATAACTAAGCAACGATTCCTGCAGTGTGGGGGTCTAATGTGCCTGGTGCTGCAAGACCTTGCTAATTGAAACTCTCTATGCTTGACCGTCTGACCACTCCCTGCTTTGAGGCTGCCGCTCTTGCACCTTGCAAGGGCGATGGCTTTAGAATTGGCCGCGCGCCCAATCCATGCTCTCTTCTCGCCGCGCGCTATGGCTCTGCTGGGAACTCGAAAAGAAAGCAACTGCACGTGCCTGCACTGATCAAAAGCAGCAGGTCAACGTTCAAACCAATGTGCTGAGAACAGCTGGTGATCTAGGGACGACAACACAACCGTTGGCAGCCCAAGCCAGTGATGAACAGTCTTCCATCAAGGGTACCGAACATACGGCAGGACATCAGTTGGGTACGCAACTGGCCCGAAAAAAACCACGAGCGCGAAGAAACATGATGAAGGCTGGCCTGCACCAAGCCTGGCGGAGGAGCGCCTTGGTGTTTGTCTGCGCGAAGCTCAAGCGTTGTTTGTGCGCAGCTGGTCTCGTGCCAAGGGCTGCTTGTGGCCAAGGTGCAGTTTGTAGGGCTGGCGTCCTGCGCTCATGTTGGCTGGAAGGGCGCAGAAGCATTCGCTTGCAGACCGTTCAGAGCAAACGCACGGGCGCCTTTGCCGCAGCCGCGCGGACCAGGCAAGCTTCATCCTGAATTCAGAATGAAGTGGGGAACTCACGTTCGATCTGTGGCAGGCCGGCAGGCTGTCCTTGGCGGAAAGACCCCTTGTGAAGCCCTCCGCGAGGTACGTGCGCAAGAGTGGCCGCGCAGGATGCGACAGCTTCCTGGGCAACGAGAAGGCATGATGAAGCAAAAAGGCGCCGACGTATCATTTCCTCGAGCCAAACATTTAAAAAGTGAGCTTTACCGCAGCGAAGAGGGGTCTATGGGAACGTGGGGTGTGGTGGCCTCCAAGTGAAACTGGTCGCTAGCCTCCGTTCTTCAACGGGTTCAATGTTCCGTCTGCGCAGATCCAGCTGACACCGACTCGCGATGGCAACGCCTTCTAACTCTTTGGGGCAGAGTCCAAAACTTTGACAGCCATGCGTTGGCTGTGGGTTGGGCGCGTTTGTGTGTGTGTGTCGGCAAGCGACCTGCGGAACCCGTGGTGGAGACATCGGGTATCGTATACTTGTTGCCTGGGCTTCACCACATGCGCTAAAAGCTGCTCTCGCGCAAGAGTGAGAAGGCAGACCAGGCACGGGGCCCTCAAATAGCCGCGGGCGTGCGATCTCGAGATCGAGACGCGTGGTGAGCCACTTCAGTAGATCGGCGTGGCGCCTTTGGTTTTGGTGGCGCCTTTGGTGCTTCACCCGAGACCCCGACAGTCACCCCCGCATTGGCCCGCTACGAGCTGGCTGCCTTCCAAGCAGTCAACGCGGCAAACATCAGAGGCCATCAACGCCTGCGGCGTCAGCGCCGACTGCGCTTGAGCGAAACTGCGGCCAAGTTAATGCGCCTCCGGCGCTGACCCGTTGGTGAAATCACGGCGTCATGCGGGGCGATTGCCCTGGCCCTGGCCCTCACCAAGCGGGGCAGCTTAAGCGGCCGCAGCGTCCCACGTCGCGCGTGCGCATGGGTGTGTGGGTGTGTGTTGGTGGTGTGTGTGCGCGCTGTTGATTTGGCCACATGAGATCTTGGAGGTGCGTCGGCTCTGCCAGCTAGGCGCGCGACTGGCAGATTTGCTTAGACTCGCGAGACGCGTGAGTGTGTACACTTTCTTCCCTCCACTCGCCCACTCGCCCACTCGCACCCAAAGGCGATTTGCGAGGCGCAAAGTCTTCGGGTTAGGTGGCCTGTGGCCTTGCGATCAGTCCGACGTGTCCAGCATCTCGCCAGGCTCAGCGTCGCCAGCGCTCGCGGGTGTAGTCAGCGCGGTCGTCGTTGGATATATTCCTGGAAGATCACATGCTCGGCTGCCACCCTTACGTTACGGCCATCGCTCTCCATAACATGAAAATGTATCCGGCATACTGATTGCTAGTGGGACTGAAATCATGCACCCAGATCTGCATTAGAGCTGGATCTGTTTTTCCAGCATGGCATCAGTGCCATTTTGGGCCTCCATTCTTCAGCCACGGAATTGGGGGTGTGGAGCGCTTTGACAACACCCCATTTTGTGTGTCAGTACTGTGGGTCGTGGTGGGTCCGAAAAGCAATGGGGGCTGGTTGGAATCATTCAGGAGACCGCGGATCAGAAAAAATCATTCGTTGATCTTTGATGCTGCCTGATGTGGAGATACAGAGATCGACGCTTCGGTTCTGTGACAAGTCTCACCAGGGACTGCACGAGCGTACAAAGGTCTTGCGTGCCGATCTTGGACGGCTCACGCCGCCCGAGTTCCTCCAAGATGTTGGCTAAAAACCTGGGCCATGCACCAATACGCGACTGCAAATGCGGAGGCTAAATCTTGCATACGTCAAGATGAATCAATGAGCCAGCTAGAAGAATGGCAGTCGAGAGAAGCAAGACAAGCAAATAGTCGAGAAAGATCAGTCAAGGCGCTGATGGCTGGACCAGTTGGGCACCACGGCAGCAGCCCAAAGCAGAAAACAAAGGTCCCGGTCCGAGGCGCTCTCTGGGTGGAGCTGAATATCCAGAACCTTGCGCCGTTGTTTGGAACATCCACCTTACCCAGCTGCAGTCGAGCAGCATCCGCAAACAAATCATTGGGCCGCTCCAGTCTGGCGAAGGCTTGCGCTACATACGCCAAGTCCTGGCAAATCTTCCCAAGCTCCGACTTTCCAACCCCCCTCCCCATCCCTCCCCATCCCTCCGCTCCCTTCGGTCCCTTCGGTCCCTTCCGGCCCTCTCTCCTGGCAGCTGAAGCCGTCGCCCTTGAAGCGGGCCATTTGCGCCACGTCCTGCCAGGTGCACGTATGCCAACGTCTTGTGAGAGACCCTAGCGGCCCTAGCCTCTAGGCATGGCCAAAGAACATCCTGTGGCATTGCCTCACAGTCGCATGACGATGTCACTGAGCTGAGGCAAAAACCCGCGAAAGTTCTCCAGGCCTGCCATGCTGCCGCGACGGCGCCCGCTGTCATTGCAGCATCCCGGGCCGTGGCCAAATGCATATTCCGGCGGATGAGACCGAAGGCCTGCAGCTTTCCACTTGAGTCCGATACAAAAACGAATCAGACTTGCGCCGAGGCTCGGCAGTCATGGCGGACGCCGCCTTGTGCAGCTCCTCCTTGTTCAGCGCCAGGCCTCCTTCCAACTGGACCGCATCTGCCTTTGCAACTCCCTCTATCTGTTGCACTTTCAAGTCCCTCTAAGCTTGCTGTCCTATCGCGTGAGCAACTGCGTGCACAAACTCGGCCGCATCCCGGACCACCGGGGCTGTGGCACGCTGGACTGGCAGGGAAGCTTCAAGCCGAACTTGCGCACGTGCCTTGGACCTGGCCTCAATATCTGACCGGCCTGTGAAAAAGGGCTGAGCCGCCTCTGCGAGGCCTTGCAAGGCCCCTTCGTGGTCCAGGAAGGTGCCCTCGCGTAGGCCTCGGGCATGCAAGCCGCTGCAAGCCGCTAGCCTTCTCAGGGCGATACTCACGCAAATGTATAAGCACGTGGCTGCTTAGCAGCACTTTGGCCGCTGCAGCCACATCGCCTTGGCTGCAAGAAAGGCACGCAGCCGAGGGCCAAGCACCTTACAACAGCCTTAACTTTTAGTGATCTCAGGGGGCCGTGACAAGCTGTCTGGCCTGTACCAATTCTCCCCAAGCTGCGGGCAGCCGTGAAGCCCGGGCTCTGCGCGAAGAAAGCCATGGCTGCGCGCAGGAAGCCGGGCTCCACACAGCCAGAGGTCATCGCCGCCTTGCAGCTGGGCGAATTGGACGAATTGGGCGAACTCTTTAAAACACCTTAAAACGCTTTCGCCGCTTTCGCCGCTTTCGCCGCTTTCGCCTGGGCCATCTCCACCACTGCGCGGCTGCCGCACTGCTGCAGCCGCGGGGCGGCAAAAGCGCAGAGCCTCGGACGCAAGACTTGATCGATTGACGATATATCATATTATGATTCATATCATTCATATGATGATATTTCAAATTTTGAAAAGGAATAAACAAATAATGTTACTTCAATGAATGATCACACCTCTCACAATGTGCCAACGCCGCTGGGGCACAAAGCCACTGGCTTTCCATCACCCAGTCGCGCGCACTGAGCTGCCGCCATGCCCAGCAGCGCTCCATCCACCTCGCACGACCTGAGAAACACCGAGGCTTCTACAATCTTTGAGACGTGAACATGTCTAAGACCGCCAGCTCTCCGGTCTGGGCAGTTCTGGCAACATGCCATGCCCGTTGCCTCTGTGCGTGCAAGGCTGCCCGCAGCTCAGCCAGCAGCTCCTGGACACGAACGACACAAACGACACAAGAGACGACATCAGAGGCACAAGAAAGAGAAGGACATTGAGTGAAAAACTCGCGCGCTCCGGCGAGGACTTTGCGCTCTGCGGCGGGCGCTGCCAAAGTTGCAGAAGGAGCCGGCGCAAGCCTCCAAAAGCCGATGCAGCTGTATGAATATAATATATGTCACATTATATGTCTGTATATCTCGTATATTCATGCTGTGCCTTCCATGGAATTCCCATCACTCTGGTGGGGCAGTGAATGGACGTTGCCTCCTTCACTCTGCTTCCCCACCGGCCGCGGCTGCGCTTCTCGGCGCGCATGGCGGGGCGGCATGCGAAGATCACATGAGATGTTGATGCGACTCATGCGACTTGACGACGTGACGACGTGACAAGTTGAGTCAAGGATTCGAAGGGATCCGTAGTGACTCGAGCTCTACTCAACTAGCTGGTTCCGGTGCTAGTCTTACGTGGGCTGTGTCTACTTAGCATGCAGGCTTGGATCCGATTGATCCTGAGGTGTTGAGCTGCGCGAAGTATTCTCTATTCAGCAATGTAAACAGCCTCATGAACTCATTTTATTTGCCGCAAGAACTGTGGCAATCTCAGCCTGATGTGCAGGCAAAGGCCATCTCTGGGAGTCCACGACTTCCAGATGTACCTGGCGGGCGCAAGGTGTTGCTTGCGCCAATCGATCTTCGCATCGTACGGGTTCTTCCGCAAGGTGCCATCGCCGGAACACGGCCTCGAGACCACCAAAATTGCAATGGTAAGAATCTGCAAGAAACCTGGAAGGAACGTTCCCCCTTCGCCAAGAGCCAGGCACGTCACACAGCACCCGGTCAAAGCGGAAGATTTCACGGGCCTCAGAAACCGCCGTAGTGCAACGGAAAGTGACGTTGAAATCTGCAAAGGTTCAGTTCAGCAGGACGAATTGCTCAGGCCAGCACACCTGAGCTGCTCACGCCTTTGCACGGTATTCAGAACGCCTGTCTAGCCCCCGATTTCAAATTAGTCCGAGGGGATGGCTTGACATCTCAGGGAAAAACTGTGCATCACAGTTCACCTCATCAGACAAAACACACAGCTTGAGAGAAACGAAACGTGACTTCACGGTTTGCGCTCAATGTTGATGAACTGCAACTTTCCTTGCACACATCCCAACACGAGCTTCTGGACGGAATCAAACTAGAGCTTCTAAGCGGGGACCCTCAAAACAAATTCTGTGACAATTGACTCAGCCTTCTGTTGCGTCCTGTTTCATCTGTCACGTCAAAATCTGGGAGCCTGGGGCCCCGGCTACCACCATGCATGGCGACCCCAATCGACCCACCTGTGAAGCATCGAAGGAAAAGCGAAAGAAAGCATCGAAGGAAAGCATTGCTCTCGCTCGCCTGGTGAGTCAACATGTTGGCGCGTCGCCACTGCAGCTCGTTCGCCAAAATCTGGGCTGAGCACTCTGGCACTCTGCAGCATGCATGCGAGATACGGTGGGAGCCCTGCCATGCCGGAAGGAGGCGGACTGCCTTCCGCTTGTGGCCAATGCATTGCCTGGAGATCTCGCATGGATTCTTTATTTGTGCCTCTCGGAGAACCTCCAGCATCTGGAAGGTCTTCGAGCCCGGCGCCTGACTGTGGCAACTTGCCAGGCTCTCTTCGAGACGCAAGTCGTTGAGTCGAGCGAGTCGAGTCGCTGACCGCGCAAAGGTCCAGCACCGTGTGGTGGGGCTCCACGCCTCGACAGCTCCGAGTCGGGCTCCGAGGTCCGAGTCGACACTCAGCTCGCGGCCAAGGAAGAGGGGGGGCAGCATGCTGACCACCTAGCGAGCTTCTTTAAGTCTGACCGGAAGCAAGGGGAAATGGCAAAAGTCTGCTATCGACATACACTAACCGTTTCTCGATGTCCTTCCAGAAAACAATCCCTTGCACAGGCCTTGAAGGAAACAAGCTATGTAATATGGAAAGTCGCGGCCAAGCTCGGGAACGCTGGCATTTTTGGCATCGGCCAAATGCGCTCACGCGAAGGGTCGTTGCCCTGGCGTGCCGTAGGTGTACTTGCCGTTCAGCTCTGTCCTGAATTCAAGCACGTCCTGTGCCGAGGTATGCAAAGCGGCCGTTCTCCACACAGTAATGCCTGACAACCTTCCCTGATGTCCAGGCGGAGTATCCACTGGGGATCCAGCGAGTAGCCAGGCGCCAGCCAAGAGAAGCGGTAGGCCACACAACTCAAGGAGAGCAGAGAGGCCTGCAAGTTTTGGAAACGGTTGAACGGGTTTTGGACTGTGGACATATGAAATCATGCCAGCTGCGCAAGGAAGGCCGTTGAGGAGATGAAGAAGAAGTTTTTCCATGCCTGAGAGAACCAAGCGGCCACCTGACGCAAAGTGCAAATTGCCTTTTGCCCTTCTCAAATGCCTTGCGGTTGGGTCCTGCCTCGGCTTGTGGGTCATCCGACCATTTGAAGAAGACCGGATTGGCCGCCACCACCTGACAGATCCCAACAGATCCCAACAGATCCCAACAGATCCCAACAGATCCCAACAGATCGCAAAGCTCTCAGCCCCAGGCCCCATACAGGGTCTCTGCCTGAAGCCGAGAAGGGCGGGAAGGCGGGAAGGCGAGAAGGCGAGGTGTCTGCAATCTCGGTGTCACGACGTTCACGACACGACGCCTGCTGCACCGCCAAGCGATAGTAGGGTACATCCTCGCCCAGCCATTTCGCTGTGTGAGTTGAACGAGCCGAATCGATGGAAATGCCTATCTCTGTGGCTCTCCTCATCTGCAAGCACACGGATGGCTCGATCAGCATGAGGATGCCCCCAAGCCTAACAGTGCTCGCTCGTATGGACTTCATGCCAGTGTGGAACATGCATAGTGAACTTGGAACTCGTTTGCTGCCAAAGCCACACCGCAGCGAAAGTCGGAAGATGTCAGAGAGCAGCAGCCCCTGAAGCAAAGGCCATGGCATGTGCTCGCACACATTCCCTGCCACCATGACCTGCAACCTGCAAAAACAACGCTGGCTGGCGTTTGAAACGCTGGTTCGCTTTGCTGGGGAGGTTTCTAGTATCAATGCGGAATCAGCTGTGCAAAGAATTCTGCAAACCAGCTTGGAAAAGCGGAAGCGGGAGGGGGTGGGAGGGGGTACTAGGGCGGCCAGATTCTCAAGAGTGCATGGGCCACATGGGTCTGCAGGAAGATTGTTGTAAATTGCAGTCTTTTCGGCTGTTTGTTTGGGAGATGTATTTGGAAAGGAATTCTAACTAATTTTCACATTCTATGCTTTTTAGAGCCGGCGCTGGCGAAGATGTGAGTTTAGTGCGGAAATTGCTACACAACACAGTGCTTTCTGACCATGGTAGTGCTTGGGCTAGGTAAAACCACGATTTTAGATCTCTGAAATATCTCTATCAACTTCCAATTCAACTAGAACTTAATAAGGAAACAATCGAAGCACATCACCAGCCAGTATTTCCAGCATCATCAGCAACAGGCGAATACAAAATTGCTAGAATCAGACCTCAAAAACCATAACAAACACAACTATAGCGAAAACAATCGCTGAAAGTCATCTCCAGCATCACCTGCATCAGCTCTGCAAATGTTCGCTTCCCGTAACAATCCAAACCCTGAAATACGGACCAGTGCGAAGTTGGGTGCCGTAAAAGTGCAACCAAGTGCAAGGCAGGCTTAGTGCCATACAGAAGGGCCAAGGCGCTCAAGGGAAAGGGAATCGTATCGGGGTGCACTGCGGCATTGGCACGGAGTGAGGCTCGGGCTTGCCCACAGCCCAAAAGTCGTAGGACCTGAGGCGCCGCCGCTCCCCGCTCACCGCGCGCCGCCCGGTGAGCTCGTGCTTGGGCCGCCACCCGGTGCTTGGCCCCGCCGTGCGGTTGGTCACCACAGGAGCCACGCAGTAGGCCGTGTGGTGCTTGAAGTGCCAAGACCTGGATCAACCCGTGCCACTACTCACAGGTGATTCAACAAATGAAGTGCTTCCCATCTATGACTCCGGGCCTCATCTCATCAAGGTAGTTGCCCTTTGCAAACTCCACGATTCCAGCCTCAAACAGGCATTGGTCATTTCACGGCGCAAGAAACAAATATTCAAAGAATGGAATTGCGAATCAAGAAGAAGTGAGCTTCCTGCATCCAGCATGGAATCACCCTTCTCAACAGCCACGTCCACGCCCGTGATTGTCTGCAAGCAAGAAATTGCCAGAAATGTCCCAGTCGTATTCCGTAGCCAGCAAACTGGCAGTCTCCTTGAGGTCCCCCACGCGGTAGTAGTGCTGTGTGAGGCCTGCGTGAGCCGAGAAGAAATGCGTCCCCGTCGGATTTCTTCCAGATACTCGGCACTGGACTCGGCACGTCATTGGGTTCCTGGGCCCCCAGGCTGCGGAAGATCCAGTCGCCGCAGCAGGGCCCGGCAAGCTGAGAGCGAGAGAGCGAGAGGGCAACGGCGAGCGCTTCGGGTCCGAGGCCGGCGCTACTGCGATCCCCAAAGCACAGCAAAGGTAGGTGTACCTGATTCACAAACTGCAGAGAAACCCTCGGATAGCAATTCAAAAGAATTCGCTAAGATTCACATAGAAACCTGGCTCATACCTGGCTCTTGGAGCACCAAGTTGGCTCGCTGATACGGAAACGCGCGTAGACCGCCGCGAGCACGCCTTGGCAGGTCTGGCCGGGCGGGCGTCATTATGCAGCATTATGCAGACTGGGCTGAGGCTGGCGGCTGGCGACCCAAGCAAGGATCAAGCCCAGCAGGATGAGGTCAACTGTGTATGGGAACAAGTACCTCGTGAAACGCAAAGACGCAGAGACGCAAAGAAAGTGAGGAATGCAAAAAGCAACGAGGAGCCGAGCCGAGACGAGCCGAGAGCACTTGGCGCGGAAGGCGGACAGCCAGCAGCTGGCGACAAACGCTCCCCAGGGCCTCAAATCATTGAGCTCGGCAAGACTCATCCCGATCCCCGCGCACGTGCAAAACCTGCCGAAGCCTGCCGCCTTTTTCCGCAAAGCCTGCGCAATCAGCTTTTCGCCTCACAAAAACACTTGCCACATGCCGCTGCTTGACAGTGACACTCAATGAGAGACTTCATCCATTCGAATCATGCCCCCAAGTGCAACATCATGACCGTGCCTTACGGCAGACGACTCTCTCTCACTCTCTCTCTCTCTCACTCTCCCTTTCTCTCTCTATATACAGTATACAGTATGAAGCATCGACCTCATCTCTTAAAAAAAAGAGAAAGAAAAAGAAACAAGAACGCGGTTGAAGCCAACATCCAGACGTTTGGTTAGATCCGTCGCAGGCCGCGGCGCTGAAGTCCCAAAGCTCCGTGCCGTGCCCGGACTCGGCGGCTGGGTGGCGCGGGGGCCAAGGCTGCGCGGTGGGCACCACCAGGGCCCCACGCAGCGGCCGCGCCTGGCCGGGTTTCGGCATGGGCTTCGGCATGGGCGTGTGAAGCTCCAAGAGGCGGGAAAAAGACTTCTCACAAAGACTTTGGAAGGAAGCGACGGGATGCTGTCTCGTCACACGTACCAAGGAACCCAAAGAAGAAAACAGCTTGGGTGGATGCTTCCTGACAAGGCGCGCTTATTGCTTGTCCCACCCAAAAGCCACTCCTCTACTTCTGGTGATGCCGCGCAGAACAGCAGGCTCAAGGCGGCCTGGCAGCTGTGGCCGAACGGTCAATGAGCCGAGAAGGTCTGGAGCCAACAGACCTGTCGAGTGTGGGTCTCGAGAGCTCACTCGCCTCCTCCACGCTGTAGGCGAAGAGTCGGTTCCGCAGCTTGGCCACGTAGAAGGCCACAGGCCCCAGGTAGGCTCCCAGCATGGCTTGGAAGTTGGGCAGGCGCAGCATGTCCTCAAGGCACGAAGGATAGAGAAGGAACCTCGAGGCTTGGAGGCTTCGTAGTTTTCCGGACAAGGCTCGCTGGCAACCACTCCGGGGTGCACTGCATTGCTGTAGACGCGGTCTGCCCGCCTGACCCACGAGCCATTCATGTGATCAAGCAGGAACATGCTCATCACAAATGGCAGTGATTATGCGAGAAGCACTGTTAGCATCCCTTGACAGATTTGTAGCGGCTGCAAACGTCGCTTGGCCTGCTCACTTCTTGTGCCAGCAGCAGACTTGCCAGTTTGGCAGTACCATAGCGCACCTTAGGTAGCACTGTCTGGTGGGGTTGCTGACCCAAAACTGGCACCACCAAAACAAACAACAAAGGCTGAAAGAGGCAACACGAAGTGCTGAAGAGCGGCGTATGGCCCCATAGCGCCCTGGTCATTGATGCCTGTGTCATCTTGCAAGTGAGAGTGATCACTTCGTGTTCGATGCTCGAGTTCTCGGCGATTTATTCTGTGTCTATTCTGTTTCTATTCTGTTTCTATTCTGCTTCTATTCTGCTTCTATTCTGTTTCTATTGCTTTCTGTTTCATTTCTTCCATTTTGTCGACTTGAGATCCCGTTCCTCCCCGCCTGCCAGGCTCAGCGGCACGCCCGCGCCCGGCGCCGCGCGGTGCGCGCCCGAGGTGAGCTGCACCACCCGCGCCCCGCTGCGCTGCAGCAGCGGCAGCAGCCGCCGCGTCAGCAGGAAGTGGCCCAAATAGTTCACCTCACGGGTTTTCCCCGCGCGCCTCGTAGTCTGGTGAGGTCCTAGTCTGGTGAGCTTCCAGAATTGTCCATAGTTGCTTCTCCCACTTTTTGAATGATGCTCCTCTTCCAAAACAAGTTCACGCTGTATCCTCTGGCCAAGTGTGATTTTGTCACCTCCTCACCTCGGTCGCGAGAGACAAACATGACCGCTAAGGGGGACATCTCTTGCAAGCAAAGACTGCAGTTGGAAATTGCGGCAAGCGCCCGGCACTTGTGCCAAACGGTGACCCGCGGATTGATCGCCTCAACTTCACTCCTGAACAAGACTCCCCCTTTTTGATGCTCTTGGCAAACAAGATCGCGAGAGACCATGCCATCGGGATTGAGGTCGAACCAAACATCATGATAACTTGGTTGATGCCCGACTGTGTGATCTGGCCCTCTGTCAGCAAATTCCAGTGGCGTTTCAGGGCAAATGGAATATACAAAGCCGCCCAGCACTGCAGATCTAATGGGGCATCCGGGCTTTTCGCGTCTAAAATGTGCTCCTTCCGCCCGCTCACAACACATCGGCTGATCTGTGCCCTGCAAGATCCGATGATGTGGGCCAAACCTTGTGACGTCGCTCACTGAGCGAGGGATACCACACAACTTGCAGCTGGCATTGTCACGATCGTCCAGGTGGCGACGGCACATCGCCCTCAAGCCTCTGATGTATCTTGAGCTGAACTGGGCTCAGACTCATCAAAGGCTCCATCAGCAGATCGTTCTGCAGCATGCGCTAACTCAAATGCTGAATGAACATGACATGGTAGAGTCTATCAGTGTTGCCAAGTGCCAAGGTGGGGTTGCTAGCAAACGTTGCGAATGCGCTGTAGGGTTGAATCATGTTTCCTTTCACTTGCAAAACAAGCTTCCTCACCCCGTCCACAGTGGCCTGAAAGGTGGCTTCCACACCATCCCTTGTGAGGTTGTGCGGAAACTGCGTGGCAACCCCGGCGTTGTTCACCTGCAATGGCACCCGCGGCCAATGTGACATATCAGCTGCGCATCTGATGGGGCGTCCCCGTGTAGTGCGACCGAGCAGCCAAGATGTGCAGCGCCGGCAGCTCCGCCAGCCACTCAGCCACGTCTGCCGTCTGTTGCAGGTCCTGAGCACACGAACGAGGGCCTTGCCGCGCGTTCCCAATGAGAGCGGAAGAAAAGCGACTCGCCTTGCGGAACCAGAAACGGGCCAAGAACTCGTGGCGTGTCCATTTCTGGGCGCCGCACGGCCAAGTCCAGGCGCAGTGCCGTCGCACCCTCGAGACATCGTGCCACGTCCCGGCAGCCCACGTAGACCGTGGCATTGGCTCGCGCCAGCCTAAGGCATAAGGTGAGAATGAGAACAGGGATTGAGTCGCAAGGGAATTCGAATGAGGGATGAGGAATGAGGGAAGCAAAAAGAAGAGCGACATGTGCATTCATTTTGCGGGGTGCACGCTATGCGAGGCAAGAGCTGCAGAATAAAGACAGGGCCCCTGCTGCCGCGCAACCTCCAGGCCAATGCCGGTAGAGGCCCCTGTGACGAAAGCCACCTGTGCAGCGTTTGCGAAGAAAGCACCTGAAAATGTGCGCCCCAACCAGCACTTTCAAAGTGCACCTTGCCGGTTAGGTCTGGCATGTCGTGGAGGTGAAAGTTCTTGGGCCGCCAGAAGTTCAGCAGTGGCAAGCTCCTGGCGAACCGCCCAAAGGGCCAGAAGGGCCTCCAGAGGCGCTGAGCTCGCGCCTGCCACCGTTCCAGAGCATGTCCCCGCGCCATACCGCCATGGCCACCACCAAGGTGAGACCAGCGCCGACATGGCTCCATGACATGGGCACGCTCGTGCAATGCAAATGCCTGAAAACTGCATCACCAAGCTTCCTGAACGGTCGGAACAGCGGCGTTTGGAAGAGGATAAGAGAAAAGGTGACTTGACATGGCCGCACATGCTGTCGGAAGATCCGAGCAAAGTCACGAGGGTCGACACACCATGCCAGCACTGGGGCGAAGTACAAGGCCATCTGACACTGAAATGGGCTCCCCACAGCAGCAACATCAGCAGCAAGGGCTTGATGCTCATCCGAATCCTTGCGCGGCCGATGGCTTGCAGCGAAGCAACGGCACGCAAGTCAAAGCGTGAAGGACAGGCCCAATTTTTCCATGCCACGCAACAGTCTTTGCCATTGTCCTTTCAGGCCATGCCCAAAACATGGCATACATCGAAATCAATTTGGAGGCCCTTGCCAGGTGCAAGGCCAAAATAATTCACAATTCACTTACTTGGCAGCCTCGTGGCTGAGAGATGGGCTGCACGCCCCTTTCTGCCTAGTGCTGCTTCCCATCAGGTGATGTTGGCCTTCAAACATAGCCTTAGCACTTCGTGGCTCACGGGATCTCATGGACAACGCCTGCAACGCCAATTTCAGCCATGCCACGAGTGGATATCCGCTAATCTTGTTGACAGCCCCCTGAGCATATTTGCTCCAAGACTATTGATGGTCAAAGGGCTGGCAACCGAGCTCGCAACACAAAAGAACGCATCGCCACCTAGGATTCTCACCGAAGTGTCTGTCTTCCAGATACAGTGTGTAAGTCTCATGCGAGCCATCCATTGCAGACAAAGCACCACAATCCTTGCTTGAAGATTGTTCGTCAGCTCATACTTATCCGTTCGAATACCCCTTGTTCGCTGCGACACCTGTCAGGGAGAAGGGAGACACTCGCTCATCATCCGCACACATCTCCCGAATAAGTGGCCGGCAGTGGAATCAACAGAATTGCAGCCGGGAGAACTCGAGTATGGAGGATGAGCTTTGCACCCGTGTGCAACTTGAAGCACCCCTCTTGCAATCATAGCGTGGGCATCACCAAGTGCCTCTTGCCTCCCAAATACATGCTACTGAAGTTCCATACCTATCACGATAAGGAATCATTCCAGCTGGAAGCAACACATTGGCAAGTCTTGCACTATAGCTGGAGCGATTGCATCTAGACCAAACTCATGTGAGTCACAAGCAAAACCCCTTGCAGGAGTCTGCCCAAAACGCTTCTGTTTGGGAATGTTCCATAGCCTTCAGTTACCCTGGTTTTGGCCTTGGCTCATCTGAAATGGCCTTGATGATCTGCAACGTTCGAGTGAATGCTCACGTGCCGCACATCCGAAACTCGTCCAATATGTTCAACGCCCTGCCTCCGACAAATACCTGTCCAAATTCTCAAATGTAAAACCAGAATCAATCATCTTCTCGCAGCCCATCAACTCCTCCACATCCCTGGGCTGTCATACTCATGCCAAGGCGCACGGAGCATCTTAAGCAATGTTGCCAAAATCACGAAAGTCGATCAATCAACCGTTGCACTCTGCTATGACTGGATACACACATTTGTGGCTTGCCGACTTGCTCTATTCATGTTAACTAGTGGTCGTGGTCGGATGAAGCACTTACAAAAAAGGCCCTTCGCGTCCTGTCTATCGCCACATTCGGACTGTTCTTTGCAAAGTCATTCTAGGGATAGAGAGAAAAACATGACGGCTGAAGCTTATCACAACTAGTCGCCACTGATGCCTAGGGCCCCCGGCGTATGCTCCAGCTTCGCCTCAATCCGGTGTTTCAGGATTGCCTCCAGCGCCTGTGAGGTCATCACGGCGTAGCGAAGGAACTCATCCTGGGAAGGACGAACTTGAACGGAAAGCCCAGATTTCTTCGGCCTCCACCGCTTGGAAGAGAGAAGATGCTGTCATGATCTGGCGGCATCACTTTTGTGACTTTGTGACTTTCGAGGGATCCACTCACATCTCATTTGGCCTCCAGGATGCTATGAGATGTGGGATCTGTGTAGTCCGTTGTTTCCTGAAAAAGAACACTCACGGCTCTCACCCGCAAGAGGCACTGAGAAGGTGGGACACCTCCAGATTCATTCCAAGCGTCCTGAGTTTCGTCGTGCGCATCGACATCTCGGACAGACTCGTTCCTTGGGGTGCAAGAACGCGGGAAGCACAGCCTGGCTCTAAGCGTTGAGAAGGAAGCAGTCTGAGGTTGCTGCACAGCCCACGTCTTCTCACTCATGATGAGCAGGTTCAAGCAAACCATGCAGCCTGTCCGACTGTCCATTCCATCTTCCTTGCCTGGTGGCAACCGTCGGCTTTGTCGGCAACGCCTTGCAGCTTCTCAAGTGCGTTCTTGTAGAGCCTCGGACACTGGGAGTGGAGAACGGACTTTGAGGGATGAGGGCGCGGCTCAATCTTAAAGGGCGTGTAGGGCCCGGAGACGATCTGCATCTTTGGATCTGCCTGCAAGCATGCTCACAATGTTCACAAACGCCTCTCACATTTCTTGGCAAATACTGCTAGATACTGCCAAATACTGTCGCATATGGTCAAATATGAGATGTCAAAAAGAGATCAAGTTTTGTGCCATAGAGGTATTGCGGAGATGTCCGTCTCGGTCGTCCCGTCCCGCTCGATTCGTCCGTCCGCGCCTCCACGCAGAGCGTCTTGGCCTTGGCCATGCAGTCGTGCGCCTCCCGCAGCGCCAGCTGCAGCTCCTCGGCTCCGGGAACTCTCGCGCCTTCCGCGTTCAACGGGCTGAGGTAGCGGACGGGAAACTATGAAAAAGGAAAGTACATCGATGAAAGCAGCTGCGGCCAAGGGGCCGGCAAATCTTTCCTGAGCGAAAAGACATGACTTGGAGAGTTGCAGATGTTTTTCTCCGATTTCCGGAGCTGAGCCACGTGAAGATTGCTTGTAGCCCAGACTTGTGGCCGTCATAGCCCAAAAAAATACGATGCAGCAAGTGCTTCAGCTCCCGGACCTCACTGTGAGACTCTCTGAGTCGGTAAACGGCTGGTTCCTTGAAGGCTGTGAGCTTGACAAGTAGCTCGAAAATGTTTTGGCACCTGTCAAAATTCGAGGGAATTGTGATCGGCTTTCGGAGGCACATCGCCAAATGGAGAAGGAGTTGTTCCATTCTTCAAAATCGAATTTGAAGCTTAAGTTTAGAGTGGATGTTCCTCTGTTCGACTTCTCTTGCGCCACATAACCGCGGGCATTGGCCACTTGTGAAGATGCCCTTCGATTGGAACTTTCGAAGCACAGACGGAAACAGCGGCAGTGGGCAAAACAAACCGGCACTGCGGCCAGCTAACCGAATCTAGCCATGTAGCTGCCACATCTGCAGGTCCTTCCCGCTTCAGAAGGGAATCTACTGCCAGCTGCACCGCCAGAGCCATGGTGATTTGACCAAGCCTGAGGTGTTTGCAGACTCGTGCGCCTAGCGGGAGCACTTTGGGCTTGCATCTGAGTGGCTCCGAGTACCGCAACTGAAAGGTCTCGGGATCTATACCTCGGCTGCGCAAGCAATCAAACTACCTTCTTGCGGGAAGACGCGCGTTTGGACCGCGCAACTTCAACTGCAGGCAAGATGCTATTGCCGTTGACGCAGGGCGTCAGGAGGGGGTACACACCAAATCCAGCGACCAAGCATCCCACTAAGGACCAGGTCTGCGACGTGTAGTACATGTAAGAGAAAACAGTGATCTGAGCGCTCCAGTCGAAAGATCAGAGCAGAGTCTTTCGTCAAACCAAGTAGACTAAAGGAGCTTCAGTCCTGAGCCCTGCACATAGATCCAAATGCAGAAGAACGCGGCCAGAGAGCGAAAGGCAGCGCCACAGCTCAATGTTGAGAGACCCGACAGGATGAGAATGGGCAGAACCTGTGCTCAGTTGAGATGTCAATCCGGCGGGTGTGGGCAATACGTCAATGTACGTCAATGATGTCAAGCACCTTCCCCAGCAGAACTCCCAGCAGTCGGTGGAGATTGTTGGTGAAGGCCTGCCCAATTCTCCAGTTCGGCGAGTCTCGAGTGGGCTCGAAAACAGGCCAGGCAGGCTGAGCTGGAGAATCGGGAGATGAGCAGGGCCAGAGTGGCCGGCATGATAGCAGAGTACCGAACAAAGATGTAGTTCTTAAGCCTTGGTGCAACTGTGCAACTCTGCCACTTCTGCAGCTCACTTGAACATGCATGCGAGGTACGCAATCGCGAGGAAGAACACAACAGCCATTCCCACGAAGTTCCGCACTGCAAATTCAAGATGTTCACGACCTGGGCCAACTCAATCCATGTTTGTTGCTGCGATCCTGTCAGAAAGAACATGTCGAGTTTCCTGATTGGTCAACAAGGGATTCTGAAGCTCTGGTGTGGCAATGTCAGGCTCTGCTTCTTTGTCTCCTAGCCGTTTAAACATCCCCAGCCAAAATACCGTAAGCTTCCAAATGCGGACAGAGTGGCAAAATATCTTGCTCGGAGACCAGGTGTTCACAAACCTTGAATCTCACACGGCCCCGGAGCAACGCTCAAAGCCTGTCAATTGTCCTTCACTTTCTAGGTGTAACATGGTGTAACATGGTGTAACATGGTGTAACATGGAACTGTACCGTGTCCTCACTTCGATTGCCCTAAGCAAGGCGCCCTTCCCAGGCACCTCTGCAAAGAAGCTTCAGATTGTCGCAACGCCAGCAGGACCAAGTCGTCTGCGACAGCAGTTTGCGTAACAGCGCTTGGCTTGGATAGGCATGCATGTGACAACGAAAGCGAACACGTTAAGTTTACGGCAAGAGAAACTGAGATTCCGCCGACAGCAGACGGCGTGTTGGACACAAAAAATGCTCCTTACCTCTTTACCTGTTACCACGACGCTTCACTAAATCTGTTCATTGCGCGGGCTTGCGCAACTCAGTTTGTCAAAAACATTGGGGTGTTCGATTCCCCCCGGGTGCGCTTTCGCATCCTTAGCAGCTCCAACGGCACATCGCCAGCATCACCTGCATCATCCGCATCAGCGCCTGCCAAGGATGCGGATGATGCAAGTGATGCTGGGGATGTTGCCCATGCTGGTGAAGGCAATGAAGGGGGGAAAGGGGGAAAGGATCTCAACAGCGAAAGGGGGGAAAGATCTCAGGGAGGAAAGGGAGAAGATCTGGGGGAAAAATGCCTTAAGGGGGAAAGGGGGGAAAAGATCTTTGGGAGGAAAAGGGAAATCTTTCTCGGGGGGAACAGGCCCTAAGGGGCAATGGGGGGACAGGATCTCAACGAGAAAGGGGGAAAAAGACTTTGGGAAGAGAAGGGTGGATATCTTGGGGGGAAAAGGCCTTGGGGGGGAAACGGGGGAAAGGATCTTAAGCGGGAAAAATCTTAGGGAGGCAGAGGGAGACGAACTCAGGAAAAGGACTTAGGGAGGAAAGGGGGGGAAAGATCTTTGGGAGGAAAAGGGAGAAGAACTGAGCGTGGGAAAAGGCCTTAGAAGGAAAAGGGGGGAAATAAATGATCTCAACAACAGGGAACTGGGGGGGGGGAAAGATCTTAGGGAGCAAAGGCAGAAGATCTGGGGCAAAAAGGCCTTAGGGGGGAAAGGGGAGAAATGATCTCAACAGGGAAAGGGGTGGAAAAGATCTTAGGGAGGAAAGGGAGAAGATCTGGGGGAGAAAGGCCAACAGGGAAAGGGGGGAAAAATCTACGGAAGGAAAAGGGAGAAGCCCTTAGGGGGGGGAAGGCCTGAGGGGGGAAAGGGTGGTGAAGGACCTGAACAGGGAAAGGGGTGGAAAAAATCTTAGGGAGGAAAGGGGGGGGAAGATCTTAGGGAGGAAAGGGAGAAGATCTGGGAGAAAAGGACTTAGGGGGGAAAGCCCAACAGGGAAAGGGGGGAAAAGATTTAGGAAGGAAAAGAGAGAAGCTCTCAGGGGGGGGAAAGGCCTTAGGGGGGAAAGGGGGAAAAGGATCTCAACAGGGAAAGGTGGCAAAGGATCTTAAGGAGGAATAGGGAGAAGATCTCAGCGGGGGGAAAGGCCGTAGGGGGGAAAGGGGGAAAGGATCTCAACAGGGAAAGGGGGGGAAAGATCTCAGGGAGGAAAGGGAAAAGATACCAGGGAGGAAAAGGCCGTAGGGGGGAAAGTGGGGGAAAGGGAGGAAAAGGGAGAAGATCTCAGGGAGGAAAAGGCCTTCGGGGGAAAAGGGGGAAAGGATCTCAACCAAGGGAAAAGATCTTGGGGAGGACAAGGGAGAAGATCTCAGGGGGGGAAAGGCCTTAGGGGGGAAAGGGGGGAAAGGATCTCCACAGGGAAAGGGGCAAAGGATCTTAGGGAGGAAAATGGAGAAGATCTTGGGGGGGAAAACGCCTTAGGGGGGAAAGGGCGGGAAAGGATCTCAACAAGGAAAGGGGGGAAAAGATCTTAGGAAGGAAAAGGGGGAAGATCGCGGAAGAAAAAAGGCCTTTGGGGGGAAACGAGGGAAAGGATCTCAACAGGGAGAGGGGGAAAACATCGTAGGGAGGAAAAGGGAAAAACTCAGAGGGAGAAAGGGCCTTAGGGGGGAAAGGGGGAATGGATCTCAACAGGGAAAGGTGGCAAAAGATCTTAGGGAGGAAAAGGGAGAAGATCTCAGGGGGGAAAGGCCGTAGGGGGGAAATGGGAGAAATGATCTCAACAGGGAAAGGGGTGGAAAAGATCTTAGGGAGGAAAGGGAGAAGATCTGGGGGAGAAAGGCCAACAGGGAAAGGGGGGAAAAATCTACGGAAGGAAAAGGGAGAAGCCCTCAGGGGGGGGAAGGCCTGAGGGGGGAAAGGGTGGGAAGGACCTCAACAGGGAAAGGGTGGGAAAGATCTTAGGGAGGAAAGGGGGGGGGGGAAGATCTTAGGGAGGAAAGGGAGAAGATCTGGGAGAAAAGGATTAGGGGGGAAAGCCCAACAGGGAAAGGGGGGAAAAGATCTTAGGAAGGAAAAGGGAGAAGCTCTCAGGGGGGGGGGAAAGGCCTTGGGAGGGAAAGGGGGGAAAGGATCTAACAGGGAAAGGGTGGGAAAGATCTTAAGGAGGAAAGGGGGGGGAAGATCTTAGGGAGGAAAGGGAGACGATCTGGGAGAAAAGGACTTAGGGGGGAAAGCCCAACAGGGAAAGGGGGGAAAAGAACTTAGGAAGGAAAAGGGAGAAGCTCTCAGGGGGGGGGAAAGAGTAGTCGAGGGCCACGCCTAGCAATAAATTGCTTTCATACATACACCCCCCACTACATTTTTTCCATCTTCCATCTTCTACCCTTATTCGTTTTCATCATTTTTCTACATTCGTTTTTGTCCATCTCATCCGTTTTTTTCTCATCATTTTTCAAAAAATTTCGCCATCCTTTTCTCCTTCCTCCTCGCCTCATTCATTTCACCAACTACCCTCCAAAATGTCATTTCCTCAATCTCCTCACCTCATCCATTTCAAAAAAAAATTGCAAAATATATTGCAAAAAATATTTGTCATCAAAAAAAGTCGAACTGTCTAAAAACGATTTGTCCATTTCTCGGACAAAAAATAGAACAGCAACAACATCACTCCCTCCTTCGTTTCATCAGTTTCATCATATATTTTTTTAGGCGTGGTCGCATAGCTTGCGAGCTTCGCTAACGCTCGCGTGTCCCTTGTAGGATTTTATCTTCAATATATAAAACGCTATACTTACATGATAATTATAACATATAAGGGTATAAATGTTATTATTATAGTATGATTAATAATTATGGGTTACATTTATAGTCAGGAAAAATGTCTTCAAATATGTAATCTACATATTTATCAATATCGCCAATGTCTATATATTTGATATTGTCTTTTCCTATTATTGAATAAATATATTCCCAGAAAACAAACTAACTAGTAGCCATACTTGATACTTAGTGTTGTAGTAAGACCATACATGATATTTAGTTATTCTAAACTCATTCAAGACCTCGTTTATTTTATCTTTACTTAATAAATGCCAATCAATCGCTTCAAACATGTCTCGAAATGCTTTAACGAATGCTTTATATGGTTTAATTGCGTTTGCCCCTCCAAACCTCTTAATTAAATCTTTATTATTAAAGAATTCATCAATTTCTTTTTCAAATGACTTTCTAGCAATTTTATGGTAAAAACATACAGGAAATCGTTTTTGATATCTCATAAAGAATTTCAATTGTAATTGAAACTTTGTATATCCCTTATCCTTATGTTCTTAGCGCCTCATTTAACTTGTCAGCAACTTCCATTTCAGAAACCCTCGTTTCCAAAACGGAAACAACTGTTCCAAAAGCCATTTCCAAAATGGAAACACCACTAAACATGTATTATTTCCTCATCCGAAATACCACTCTGAAATGTCCTGTTTCCAATTGGCAAATACAAGTTTCCAATTAGGAAATACCAGTTTCCAATTGGGAAATCCAAATTTCCAAATCTGAACCCAAAGTTTCTTGATTGGAAATCACTCAGGAAATGTCAAACTCACTAAGATTTCACAAATTAATTCGCTAGGTATTTTATATAAATCTTCCTGCTTATGTATTGTTGGATTGTCTCCCCATTGTTCCTTGTTTCCACTTGGCAAACGTTGCGCAGTTTCAATATGTTTATTATTCCTGATGTTACCACAATCCTTTTTACATAATTCCCTAGGTTTCCAAGTTGTAATGTTATTCCATAGCCTAGTCCTCTTTCTATAATTAAATCCATATTTACAGTAATCAACTTTTTTTAAATTCACACTCATCCATAAACTCCTGATTTTTTAATAATCCAGTTTGTGGATTTTCGATTACAAAATATTTAGGATTAAAATATTTGATAATCTCGATAGTTTTTAAGACAATACTATTTGCATATTCGATATTCCTAATTCCCCTAGTTTTTGCTACGCTGTATTCAGTGCATGGGGGGCTACTCCAAATAAAATCAAAATGGTTTCTGTCAAACTGTTTGTAATCCCACTCCAAAATATCAGTGTTGATATCAGCATTTTTCAAGTCTAATGATATCACATTAAATCCAAGCGACTTTGCTATGGTTCCGACGCTTTTTGCTCCGCTAAATAATTCTAATAAATTTTATTAGAATTACTTAGATATTAATTATTCAAATAATACATATACTCCATCATCATTTTTTGAAATTTTGTAAAATTCTAAAGTGGTGCTTTTAGGTTGTTTGATTTTTCCTGTATTCAACATATCACAGTACTTCTTTTGCTTTGTAGGGTAGTCGCCCGATGGTCTTCCTATAGACTTTGCTTGAAATATCTTTTCGATTTTCTCCTTCTCTTCGTTGCTTTGTTGTTCGCGTTCAACTGGTTTCATTTTGTCATCAATGGATTTAATCATATCATTTAAGTTTTTGATATTTTTACTAATTAATGTTATCTTCTTCACTAAATCATTAACAGTATAATTTTCATTTTCAGACATTACTATATATTTATTTAGATATTTATTTATTTAATTATATCTGTATAAAGTGCAATTATGTTAAAACTAATCTTTAAATACTAACTTATGTCCCTGTTAAAACTAACATTAATCAAATGTTCATTAGTTTCAACAACCACATCGCCACCTGTTTTTTTCTCAATATTTAAATCCTTATCTGAGCTTTTATAAGAAAACATACAAGGAATACAACTAACCTTCACTCCGCCTTTCTTATCTACTGTCAATTCGTTTTTAAAATTCATTACGTGATTACAT